GGCAGGACCTAGGCCATCTCCCAAGAGTCCAGGATGAGAGAGCATCCCTCATTGTGGGATGGGCACCATTTATATGACAGGGAAAATTACTGATCTACTACCCAAGGCCCTATATATTTCCTAGGCCTCCTCAAAGACACCTGCATTCATGGATTCTGAATCAGTCCCATGCTGCCTGCTCAGCCATCAGTCTGGGGTCCCAGAGCTCCCCCTTGTTCAGGTCAGCTGTTTCTCTGTGTTTCACCAGCCCAGTGTTGACCCCTTTGCTCATTACTCTTCCCTCTCTGTCACTGGGTTCCAGGAGTTCAGTTCAGTGTTTAACTGTGGGTGTCTGCCTCTGCTTCCATAAGTCACTGGATGGAGGTTCTAGGATGGTTTATAAGGTAGTCATCAAAGTCATTATCAGGGAGGGGCTTTTAAGGTAGTCTCTTCACTATTTCTTAGTTTGCCAGTTGGTGTCATCCTTGTGGATCTCTGGAAATCTCACTAGTGTCAGATCTCTCCTCAAACCTACAATGACTTCCTCTATTATGGTATCTCTCATCCTGCTCTCCTCTATTCTTCCCTGACTCAACTTTCCTGCTCCCCAATGTCCTCCTCTCTCCTCCTCTTTTCCCCATCTCATTTTCCCAGCTCCTTCTCCCCTCCCCCCATGCTCCCAATCTGCTCAGGAGATCTTGCCTCATTCCACCTTCTCTCTGGTATCATATATAACTCTCTTAGGGTCCTTCCTGTTTTCCAGACACTCTGGCAGTGGGATTGTAGACTGGCACTTCCCTGATCCATGTCTAAAATCCATATATAAGTGAGAACATACCATGTTTGTTTTTCTGTGACTGGGTTACCTCACTCAAAATGGTTTCTTCTATTGCCATCCATTTGCCTGCGAATTTCAAGATTCCATTGTTTTTTTTTTCCCAATGAGTTTTGCTCCATTGTGTAAATGTACCACATTTTCTCTATCCACTCTTCAGTTGAGGGGCATCTAAGTTGCTTCTAGGTTCTGGATATTTCAAATAATGCTGCTATGAATATAATGGAACAGATATACTTGATGTATGTATGTGCATCTTTTGGGTCTGTGCTTAAGAGTGGAATTGCTGGGTCTTGTGGTAGACTGATTCCCATTTTCCTGAGGAATCTCCATACTGATTTCCATAGTGGCTGTATGAGTTGGCACTCCCACCTGTAGTGGAGGAGTGTTCCCCTTTCTCCACATCCTCTCCAGCACAAACTGTCATTGGTGTTTTTAACAGGAGTGAGATGTTATCTCAGAGTTGTTTTGATTTGTATTTACCTGGTGGCTAGGGATATTGAGCACTTTCTTAAGTGTTTATCAGCCATTTTAGACTCCTTTATTGAGAATTCTCTATTCAGTTTAGTAGCCCACTTTTTAATTGGATCCTTTGGTGTTTTGGAGACTTGCTTCTTGAGTTCTTTGTAAATTTTGAAGATCAGCCCTCTATCAGATGTGGGATTAGTGAATAACTTTGCCCATTCTGTGGGATGCCGTTTTGTCTTGTTGGCTGTGTCTTTTGCCTTATGGAGGCTTCTCAGTTTCAGGAGGTCCCATTTATTAATTGTCAGTATTGATGCTAACAGGTAGATTTGTCATGAAATCGGGTACCTCAGTATTTGGTACATATATGTTTAAGATTGTAACATATTTTTGGTTTAATGTTTTCTTCATTAGATGGAAATGTCTCTCTTTGTCTCTTATAATTAGTTTTAGTTTAAACTTTATTTTAGCATGTATTAGGGCCTGCTTACTTATTGGTTCCACCTGATTAGAGTGCTTTTGTTCATCCCTTTAATCTTTAAATCTGTGTTTCTTATAGACAACAGATACATGAATTTTGTTTTTCATTGATCCATTCAGTCACCCTGTGTTTTTTGATCAAAGAATTGTGGCCATTGATGTTAAAAGATATTGTTGGAATGTACAAGTTAGCTGTGGTCATTGTGTTGTTAATTTTTGGTAGTGTTGTTTGTGTTCTCAATGGTATTTTAATAATATGGTTTTGTATTTCTTTCCACAGTCTCTCCAGCCCAAAATAGTGTTTCCTGTATTTTTTTGTTTTACATTTGCCTGCTTATGAAAAGTTTTTCTTTTTCTTCCAACTACGTTAAAAGATTTTGCTGGGTATAGTTTTCTAGGAGGCAATCATAGTTTTTAAAATTATTACTAAATATATTATTCTTAAATTACTATTAAATTTATTCTTCTCTCAAACAGTAATCCTGGCTGTAGCCTCCTCTTGCTCCCCTACTCTCAGTCATCCATTTCCCTTCAGAAAAGAGCAGGTCTCCCAGTGATATCAATTGGACATGGCGTAACAAGATGCAAAAAGATGAGGCATAAACCCTTGTGTCCACTCTAGGTGAAGCAACCCTGAGGGAGGAAAACATCCCATGAGCAGGCATAAACAAAATGTTAATGAAATGAATCCTAATTATATTCCGTTGTACTCATAGGATCAGTCCTTAGCCCAAGTGTAATCAGAGAGGCTTCCTCCAGCTTCTGATAGGAGTGAATACAAAGTCTCACAGCCCATCATTAGGCAGAGCTCAGGTAACCTGCAGAAGAAGAGAAGGAAGTGTTGTAGGAGCCAAAGGTGTTGAGGACACTAAGAGAACAGGACCCACGGATTCAAATAAACAGGCTCATGGGGTCTCACAGGGAAGTTTTATTATTTCACAGATTTGCAAAGAACAATGTTTTTAATGATGCAATGTACTTGATGTTCTTATCTTAGCTACCAGACACCCACTGTCATTTTCCTTCAGATTCTTTTCTCAATTTTTAGTGATTGTGTTAATAATGCAAAGCATTGCTGCAATGACTCATTTACAATGGCATTAAGCTCTTCCTGTATTTTCTTCTTCAGAAATGGATTTTTGTTTACATAAAGAACCTATATTTGGCTTAAAATGTAAAACAGCTAGTGCCATGGGAGTTTTAGTTACATCAGATTCCCAGATACATATTTTCAAAAGCAGTTGATACTGTAAGTTTTATAGGTGATTTCCAGGGGTATTTTATGAAAATGCAGACTCATAATGTGTTTCCTGCCATCTGACCTAGGAGAGACTCTTTCATGGATGACTTCATGCTAGTCATCGTGTTCTAGCATCCTTTGCTGTATCCACAAAGAAATCACGATTAGACTAAGAAAACTCTTCCAGCATTGATAAACTAGAGATGTAAGAATACGTCAGGCCTATATGCTGGACTGGGAGAGATGAAGGCTCACAGCATCAGGCCCTGTGAGCTATTACTACATTGCTTCAGGGTTGAGAACACAGGGAAGTATGGCCCTGTCACTCAGATGGTGGGTCACTGTTCTGAACTTTAACCCCCAAGAGTGGCTTGAACACATCACTGATAGGCATCCCACTGCTTCCAGCATGCATGAACTATAGCAACAGACAGAAGCTGACAACATCTGCGAGTCACACAACACCTGCTGATGTTTCAGTGTTATGCTGCAGACCTTCTAATAATGTCAACGGGGGATAGTGTTATAGCCCTCAAGTCTAGGGTCTCTGGACACCCAGAGTTTGGCAAGTCTCTGAAGCTCATATAGCGGATAGAAACTGCAGTTGCTTATCTTTATCTCTTCACAACACCCATCTTCATTGTTGCCGCTGCTTTCTGCCCCAACTCTTCAGCTGTCCTTTCATTGTCTTCGCTGCCGCCTCCACCCTCTCTTCTGTTTATTGCCACCTCTCCAGTTCTAACAGCGGTAAAGAGCAAAAGTTGGAGAAACTAAGCTTCATTGCACACACATTTACACCTATGTGGCACCTAAAGCCATCTACTGAAGCATGGGCAATCTACCGATGGCAACGTTCCTAAAGAAAAGTGACTCTCCTTCACCCAGCAGCGATGAACTGCAAGAAACTCCCCAACTATCAAAAAGAGTGCACTACTCTGGGAGCCCTTGGGACCCCATGGTCTATTATTTGCTTTTATTCCTTCCTTTCACTTGTGTCTGTGTGCCAGTGTGTGCATGTGTGTAGGTACATATGTGTGTGTTACATGCTTTTGAGTGCACAAATGTGTTTACTTGTGCATGCCCACACAGAAATCTGAAGAGGTAGTCAACTGACTTCTCTCATTCTCCTTTTTATTCCTTTGTGACAGGATAACTTGCAAAACTGGAAAATTGCCACTTTGTCTAGGGTGACTGGCCAGAAAGATTCAACTTTCTCCACCCTCCACTGCTGGAGTTACAAGCATGTGTAGCTGTCTCCATATTTTTACACAGATGTTAGTAATTCCAGCTTAGCTCCTTATACTTGCACACAGTGCCATGTCCTCAAGTCCAGGCTGTATACTTTTTCTAATAAAGAAAGTGTGAAATTCATAATTAAAAAAATAGGATGTTGACTATGAAGGCTCAGGTGGTGCAAATCCAGGAATGAGATGATATTCAAAAATCTTTAATTTCAGACATTAAAAATGAAGTTGTAGGGTTTTATAGAATGATAAGCTGACTACAGTTAATTATAATGTAGTATAGTCCCAGCTATTAAAAATAGACCCTAAGTGAGATCATAGAAAATGATGCACCTGTGAAGTAATAAATGCTCTTTGTTTCACATTATTTCACCATGCAGTGTCATATGTAAATGCAGCATTGCCCACCACAAAATGAATGTAACTGTTAGTGAAAACTTGAAATGCAACAGCAACAGTGAGTGTAAGAAAAACCTTACTGTGTATTCATCAATGTGTTCACTGAGTTTTAAATCCCAGCAGAACTGAGCTACATTGAATGCTGATTCATAGATGTTGATTGAGGAGTGGGCATGCCGGTTCTAATCAATGATACTCTAGTCATCTTTAACATGTAATTTCCTCAAGATGGGTTGTCAGATGTAGGTCCTGATGGAAAGAGACATAATAAGTCAATGGGTTTGATGTGAATTGTTTATCTGTTTTCTAACTTTTCTGACCACCAAGAGATGATTGTTCATAGATTCATTCATTCCAGGAACTCTCATTTAGTCCTGTTGGATAGATTCTGAGATCTTTGATGGTGGCAACTGGAGATATGGGAATCAGGTGCCTGCTGCATGCCACAGGTATGTGGAAAAGACTTCTCTAATCTCCTTGTGGCTTTGCTGTTTTAGCATTTCTTACTTACCCATAATTGTTAGTTTCTCCAATAACAGTATCATGTGACTGTGCTATTAAATCTTTCCTTCTTTTGAGAGTTCTCATGCAGTGCCTACAGGTACCAGGGAAAATGAAAACACATGCTGAATAAAACCAAACCAAACTTTCAGTAAAAGCTGATATTTTCACAGAAAAGCAAACTATCAGCTAACCTCAAAGATTTAAATGAAAATACACATTCATAAAATTTTCATCATCGTCGTCATCATCATCATCATGAACCTTCAGTGTTCAAAACTGTGCAAAGTGTTCTTGAACCTGACATATAAAAATGAAATTAAAATTGATTAATTGTGCATCACAGTTTAAGAAATTGTTTTGTATTTTGTTTGTATCTCCCTTGTCTACTTAATTCAGTCCACTTCCTGCCCCGACCCATGGGACAATCAATGTGGGACTGGGGACACCTAGGAGAGAGATGGGGCACAAGACAGAAATGAGAAACAGATGACAAGACAGGATTCTGATCAAGTTGACAACCTTTATTCATCCCAAAGGGATTTACATAGGGGAAGTGAGGAGGGGAAGGATTGGGGGTGTTAACGGTAGCTTCAGTGAGCCTGGTGGAGCAAAGGTCAGTGGGAAGGGTAGGTCATCAGAGCTTCCAAGAGTAGTTGTGGGTTCTCATGTTTACCCAAGGTTTAGTTCCTTCTCTGCAAGGTTGGCTGGAGTGGTCTTCTTAGAATAGCTGGAAACATTTTAGAAGCTGTCCTTATCTAGAACTTAGTATGTTGTAATTAAGTGCAAGCATAGATTAGATCACCTCAGAAAGGTGGTGAGACAGGAGGATTCCATCAGAGTCAGTTGGATCCTACAGGGCTGTTTTTTTTGTTTGTTTGTTTCCAAGAGCACTCTACTTCCTCTTATCTGGTCTGCTTGGTTATCTCACACTTAGCTGCAATCCCTCTTATTTATCTTCTTCAGCGTTTCCAACATCATAGTCTTAACCCTAACTTTCCATTTAACTCTAACATTTGCTTTCCTTGAACAGTGCAAATGTCTGTCCAAAAACATGTCAGCAGAATATGCTACTCTCCTTGGATTTTATACCACTTTCCTTGGATTTTCAGGGTCCTCCTCGGTAGAATTTGGGGAAGGAGAGGAAGTGGGGTTTGAGAGAGGCAGAGAAAAATCAACCTTCAGGCAAAGGGTTTCTTAGGGAGTTTCACCCACTTCAGAGAACACATAATTATCTTAAGGTACCTTATGTGAGAGTAGGGAGAAGAAAACTATTGTGTTCAGAGAATTAGGCCCAGGGGCAGCCACACTTCAGTTAGATTTAGAGGCATAGTTTTTTTGTCTTGTATTTTTGCTTGTGCAGGTGAAGGAAAGGCACAGAAGATACTCCTGGATAAGGAAGGGGCATGTGAAACAGCTTGGGCTTAGTGCATAGTGGAATGTTTCTGGCTTTAGCCATTCTCTACTTGGAGGTCTGTGACCTGGAAGGGGGAGACTTAGCTCTCATGACATCTATGAAATGGTATAGGAGGCTTTTGTATCAGCTAGAAGTTATGAGGCCCAACACACATAGTCTGTGCTTTTCTATTTTTCACTCTTCTTCCTGAGAATATCAGCATTCCTTCAGCTTAAATGCCCCTTATAAACACTATTCCCATCAGCCATGTGTATCACTTGAGCACAAGAAGTATGTTCAATGTCAGTAAAGATGTACCACATTTCTGAAACATGTACTGGATCAGTGACTCAGTACATACAAAATGCACAGCATCTTTAATAATATGTATACATATATACATATATATATATTTACACATGATTACATGGTAGAAGATGAATGCCTCAACCCTCTTAAATGACATAAAATATAGTGTTGAAATCAACTTCACGTTTTTGTGGAACTATGTAATCTTTTCATGACATACATGTCTGGAACATTTGAATCAGAGCACATGTGGATGCCCATAAAATACTTTCATAACATTAAATTTACTGGCATTCCTTTTGGAGATGGGGATATTTGTTGCCTGTCTCCCAAAATCCAAATAAGCAGTAATGGTTGCTGTGTTGGGAAAGAAACTCCTTGGCAGCACACCTGTCCCTCAGTTGACCATGTTGATGGAAATAAGACCTTACACATGCTCCTGGAAGTAACCTCTGTTAAACTAATTGGATCACCAAGTTAGACATAAGTAGAGCCTTCCCTTTGGATTTCTTTTAGATTTTTGTCCTAGTTTGCTTTATGATGCTATGGTAAAAATAAGCAACTTAGGGAGGAAAAAATTATGTTAGCTTACAATTACAATTCTTATAAAGAGAATTCAAGATAAGAACACAAAGAATTAAATGATGAAGAGACCAAAGAGGAACACTGCCTATTGACTTGCTTCCCATGGCTTTGTCAGCCAGCTTTCTTATACAACCCTGGACCACCTGCCCAGGGCTGGCACTGCCGCCAGTACCCTGGGCCCTCCCCTATCAATTACTAATCAAGAAAACAACCACAGATTAAAAAACTACTTCAGTAAAGATTCCCTCTTCCAAGTTATGCCAGGTTTGTATTGAGTTGACAAAAATCAAGCAGTGCACTTCTCTTTCGGAGAACAATAAAAACAGATTCAACCAGAAATGTCACCCAACATATGCATTCTTTTTGCATTGCGCTCTTCTTCATATGGCGATTATCTTTAGATTTATATACAATGTGGGTTTAGAGGCCTGCACGGGAAAGAGGGATGCCCAAATATAGAACGAAGACTGCGGGCGTGGCATCTGTGTGCTAGTCTGGAAGAAACATCTGAGTTCACTGGTGGGTTCACAGCTACAATAGGATGCACTGTTCTCTCTTCAGAATTTTCATGCTTGTCACAATTCACTATTACCACTGTAGTGGCTAAAGTGTATGAGTATAAGAGTCTTCTCTGTAGGGAAGACAGAGGCAATAATTCTGGCAAGCAGAGACAGAACCCCAAAGCAACCCAATTAGAACATTCCCTCCTCTTTCTATTTCAGCTCTTGGTGTCCTGTTGGTCTGGCCAATGATAAAACTGCAGAATGCTTCAGGTGAGTCTATCCATGGATAAAGGATAAAGCCTGGGGAAGTATAATGGGGTATAGAATGTTATTCCTTAGAAGCAAAGTGCTCACTGTTAAGTGTGGAACTTTTTAATGACCATTATATTGAGCACCATTGTCATACATCTAACATCTTCATCTTCACCATCATTGTTTCCACCACTTAGCTGAGCAATTACACATGTAATTTCATTTGATGTTCATGATATCACTATGATAAGATACCATAGTTATGAAGAAAACAAAATCCACACATGATATTTGGTTCCCTAGATAAGGAGCTGGCTCTAAGTCACAGAACTGTAAGACACTAACCAATGTTCTTGACCTTGTGTCAATGACCTTGTGTCATTGCTGGCACTGTGATGCATGTTTTGAACTCCTGTCATCACACCTACACATCAATACGGTCCCCTAATTGAAATTTGACAGCTCGGAAAATAGTTATTTTTGTAAGAAGATGGGTGTGAGGAGGCATTGTGGGTATCTATATGAAGATAGATACCAAAGGACATGAGATAATGCATAAATATGCTCTGTGTTTCCTGCAGCGTCCTGCCCTCAGTGCAATGAAAATGCTGCCTGCTACAACAGCACCCACTGCATTTGTAAAGATGGATTCTGGACAGGACCTGATAGTAGAATAATTATTGAGCCACATGTGAAATGTGAAGGTAAAGAAATCTGTCTTCATTTGCTTTCTATTGTGTTTAAGTCTCAAGAGGAGGAAAGGGTTCCTTGCATTACAGAGGGAATTCAGGGTGAGAAACTGGAGATGGAACCCGAAGCAGAAACCATGGAGGAGTGCTGCTTACTGAATTGTTCTTCATGGCTTGCTCAGTATGGTGATTTGAATGGTCTCCATGGGCTCGTATATTTAACTGCTTGGTTCTCAGTTGGTATAACTGTTTGGGAAGGATTAGGAGGTGTGGCTTGTTGAAGGCAGTGTGTCGCTGGGGGTGGGCTTTGAGGTTTTAAAAGCTCATGACCCTCCCAGTTAGGTCTCTCTTTGCCTCCTGCCTGTGAATCAAATGAGATGTAATCTCCCAGCTACTGTTCCAGCACCATGTGTGCTTATCTGCTGCCATGCTTCATGTCATGATAAGCCCCAATTATGATTGCTTTTGTCATAATGTTACTTCAAAACAATAGAACAACCTATGGAAGTCCCATTTTCAAAAAAAATCTTTGTTGTGCCATGTTTAAAAAAAAAGAAAACTAAAGAGCACAAACTGTTAGTTTACTTGTTATTAAAAGGTCTTATGCTCCTTGACCAAACATTGATAGATTATGCAGATTTCAGAGCTTTTTAGAAGAATCATTGACAAAGTAAATGTATTAACCAAGTGTATTAATATTATATTCTTTGGACAGACTGGGGCTATGTGGCTCTTTGGATCAAGGAATCTTTGATCTGTAGGCCTCTTTGTGACAATGTACCCTGAAATAAGTAACTTTGAGGAGGAATAGTTTGTCTTAGCTCATTGTATCAGAGTATAGTCCATCACTGCAGAAAAATCAAGGTGGGAGGGACGTTAAACATCTATTCCCAGCCACAGTCATGAACAGAGACAGAATGAATGACCGCATGCCAGATATGAGGCAGCCATTTCCTTTTCACTCAGTCTTGGGCCCCCGCTTAAGAAGTGGTTCTGTTCACATTCAGGGTGGGAGGTCTTCCCACCTCAGTAGAAGGAATCCTTCACAGGCATGCCCCCAAGCCAACAGAACCCACAATCTCTCTCACCGAGACTCCTTTCCAGGCCATTCTTCCTTCTGTCATGTTCACAATTAAAACTGACAACCGCGACTCTAGTTCTAAAGTGCATCAGTCTGACAACTAAAACGAATCATTGTTCACTCCGCTCACTTAAACTTCAACTATGCTCTGCCAGTAGTGAAAGTGGATGTTCAGAAGGACTGGCAGTGTTATTATGAGAAGAAATCAGAATCCTGGAAGAACCTACTGTGATTTCTAAGATCGTATGTCCTGGAACAGTGAAATTGGACCAGCGACATATGGGCAGTGGGAGCAAGAAAGTTAGTTTATAAAGAGAAAAAAACTAAAACAAGCCGGGCATTGGTGGCACACGCCTTTAATCCCAGCATTCCGGAGGCAGAGGCATGCAGATCTCTGTGAGTTCGAGGCCAGCCTGGTCTACAGAGTGAGTTCCAGGACAGCCTCCAAACAATACAGAGAAGAAACCCTGTCTCAGAAAAAAAATAAATAAAGAAGGAAACCAACAGTACTTCTTAAGTTTGAAGTAGACTGGTAAACTTAGAAAAGACAGAAGTTCACACTTTTTAAGCATTAGTTCTGGTCCTTTATGGATCATTTACATAACACCTCCTTCCTCTGTGAATTCCTTAAGCCTGGCCCCCACCTTATTTTATTAAATGGATCCCTGCTAGAAAGAGAATTCCAGTCCTTAAGTGAAATGTATTCTTTAATATATAAATACTGATGCCCTTCTCTCCTCCCGCCTATCTCTTGAGACAAATCAGGAAGGCTTTAAGTAGTATTCTCTTTCAACCTCACTTTTAACCATTTCTAATAATGATTTCTAATAATGACCTCATTTATCCTAACTTTATTCTTCTACTAGGTACATTTTGTTAATGTGATAAACACCACGACCAAAAGTAAGTTATAGAAGAAACAGTTTGTTTTGATTTATGGTTCCAGAAAAGGAGTCTGCAATGATGGAGATAGGCATAGCATCAGGAATCTATATAAACAGACAACATGACTGCTTCATTGTATGATTAAGGGGGAAATCATATTGTAGATATGAGATAGATAATAGCCAGCGACGTCTGGAAGAGTCCAGCGCAGAGACAGAAAGTAGATTTAACATGGCCAGAAGACTGGACATAGCCAGGGCTGAAGAAAGGAGAACATCAGGGGATGGAGAATAAAGAAAACATAGTGAGAGAAGTAGGAACAAAAGAGGGGGGCAGGGCTGTAAGGAATGTGTAACTGGGGGGGCATAGCCTATAAGCTGGATGGTGTTTAGGGTAGGGGAGGAGGTGAGAAAGGCTTGGATGCTAGCATGAACTTAGAAATGTGTAACAGGTATTAGTGATGCTGAGAGGGCCTAGAAGACAGCATGAGTTTTGATATGCTGAAAGGTACCACAAGTAGGCAGCCATACGTCCCGTTTGCCAGAGGTAAGGTAAATGACTCATTTCAGTAGATGGCAACCAGCTTCACAAGTTCCTGAAGAATGTTAGTTTTTATCTAACTGCCAGAAATCCTCCTACAGTCTAGGTTGAGATGATTAGATTTTGTTTTGGAGTTTGAGAAATTGGAGTTTCCTTTGGACCTAGCTGTACCCAGAACCTGAGAATTCACATATCATCCACAAATAGGAAACAGAGCAGGTGAACAAGAAGTGGGCCAAGGCTATAAACACTCTGTGTCCTCACTCAGTGGTCTGTTTCTTCCAGCAAAGCTGCACGTTATATATTTCCTGTAACCTATAGAATCAATGCTATGTATCCTGAATGTGAATGACAGGACTCCATAGACTTGAATTTCAGATGAAATAAAAGGGCAACAAAGGGAAAACCAACTTAGTACCAGTGTTCATTTCTATCTGCAGCCTGGTTGCTTACGCAATGTGACCAACTACCTCACATACCCATAGTTATGTCTTCCTGTTATCAGTGACTGCTTCCCACACTTACACACAAGTCAAAATAAGCCATTTCTTCCTTAAATTGCTTTTGTTATATGTTTGGAGACATAATTAAAAAATTTCTACAATTGTGCGCCTGTACCCACACATGCACAGATGAACACACACACACAAATTTCTGGAGGAGAATTGTGTTAAGTTTACACAAGGAGAACTGTCATCTTTATCTTACTGATTTATCCTAACAAAAAACAAAAGATATTGTTTGGTAAATTTACAAGTGAAATCTAGCAGTAGAGATGCTAATGGCAAGAGAAATAGATACAGCCATATGAAAATAAAAGCAAGTCATTTTCTTCATTTGCAGATATTGATGAGTGTCAATTGGGGATACCAGTGTGCAAGGATGTGTCATATTGTAAAAATAAAATTGGAGATTACATATGCAGCTGTGTAGTAAAATATCGTATCTTCAACTGGGTAGCTGGCATTGTTGATATTGATAATCCTGATTGTTATGGTAAGTCTATACATACATTTTTCCATTATGCAAAGGGAGGTGGGTGGGTAGAGCTTGTGACAGCTATGACACCATTGATTGGAATACTAGAGTTATTTTTGTATCTTCATCCCTCATCCTTTTCTGTATTTGATCTTTAGCAATGCAATGCCAACGGGATCAAATAATCATTTCCAAATAGGAACCTTCCAAATCTGTCTACAATGCAGGTCTCTTCCCATGTTCTACAAATGGGCAGCTCTGATTTTCTGCAGAACTTCACAGCTTCTTTATCTTGCACTAATACCAAATTCAGTTCACATGCCAATCTGTATTCACAGTATACCCCTTGAGTTCATGCTAATACTCCCAAGCCTTCCTTCATGTGCAACTCCTTTCTACAGCAATGACAAATTGGCCTCTCAAGATTTACAATACATTTTACTGCTCAGGTCACATAGAACATCATGCTTTAAATAATGCTGCATGAGGAGGTAGGATTCCATTTACAAATTGAATTTAGTATACAATGTAAAAATTTTTATTACATTTTTTTCACATGATAAATTTTGAGGTTTTCCCCTCCCCCAACTCCTCTCAGGTCCTCTTTTCTTTCCTATTCCTCTCAGGTCCTTCTGTCTTTCCTACTTACCTAATTTCAGGTCTCCTCACCCCCACCACCATTTTTCCATCCCAAAACAATAACAAAACAACAAAAACGAAGGCAAAATACCACTACATTCTCTGTCTTTTCCCTTTCTCCCTCCGTTCCTTCCTCCCTTCTTCCCTGCCTTCCTCCGTCCTTCCCTCCTTCCTTCCCTAGTCTCTCTGTCTGTCTGTCTGTCTGTCTGTCTGTCTGTCTGTCTGTCTGTCTGTCTGTCTCTCTCTCTCTCTCTCACACACACACACACACACACACACAAATCATGTAGTCTGTTTTGTGTTGTCCAACTATATTTACATATGGGTCTTGCACTAGAATGTGGCTGATATATTCACTGACACTCCACTGGAGAAAACAAAAAACCTGATCTTCCCTTTTCTGACAAGTATCAGTTGCATACAGCTTCTTGGTTAGGGTTGGGACATTATGTGTACTTCCCCTTCTTAGAGCTGGTATCTTCTCATTAGCAATTGAATTTAGGTCAGAGTATAAACTGAAATGAGTTATGTATAAATAAGAATAACAACAGAGTCAACTATGCTGCCTACACATTGGAAATAACAAATTACCCTAAAATTTGTACAATAAACAAGAAATAATCCTACTTTTGAACACTTTCTATGATTAGAGATCGAGGCATGAGTTAGCTGAGCTATCTATATATGTCTCTTGGATTCAGTCAAGGTGATTCTCAAAGGTACAGTTTTATTTGGGCCCTGAATTGAGGCAGTACCTACTACTACACTTACTCACATGGGTTCTGACAAGATGGTTTCATGTTTGCTTTGTGTTTAGGCATGCTATTGATAGGTAGTCCAGTAGTCCCTAGAATTTACGTCTCTCCTCAACCACCACCCTGGAATTGAAATTCAAACATGCCTGGACTTTCAAATTATTTTCATAAGGCTTTCCTTCCAGGATAGGAATATAGTAAACTAGCATGCTTGGTTTTTCACTAGCATCTACCCAGGTCTCTCTATGTTACGCTTAGTTTTGAGCAGTTACTCAAAGGATAATTTAGACTGAATTAACTGACAGATTCTCTATAGTGTGACTTTCACTGTGAAAATGAGCAATCATCTGTTTGCCTGAGATATGGTACCAATGGCAGGTGAGAGAAATGACATCACCCATGTAGCTTAGTGAATGGATAAGTTTACTGAAGTTATCTTCTAGGTAAGTGATTACAAAAAGGCAGTGATGGCACTAAAAACCCCATTCCAACATGGATGACAACTCACACAAACTTTGTCCCTAGAGAGATCTTTCCTGAGATTTAAGCACTAGGATGACTGGAGAGTGTCCTCTTTCTATATGTTACTACTGCTTATGTAGCCCATGGTAGGGGCCTTGTGAATCTTCTAAGTTCCGTGTGCTTCCTGAGACTGGAATTGTTTACTCCTGAGTTTTAGGAAGCCCTCTTCCAAAATGGAACATTTCAGTTCTGAGGAAACAGCCATAAACGCTCCACTCCCCCTTTCTCCAGCTCTCACATTCTTTCTGCCAGCTCTTCCACAATGTCCTCTAAGCCTAGGCTGTGGACACATTGGTATTGATCATCTTTGCTCCTTCTTCCGTGTCTGAGAATCAGGTAACTGTGTCACAGAAAGACTTACTCTGTGGATATGGTACAGTTGTGAGTCTCTGCACTATATTTCTACCCACAATAAAGACGTTTCTCTCAATAACTAACGTTTGGGAGACAATTTGCTGAAATTATACATTTATTAAACAGAACAAGCACTGTGCTATCTTTGGGGCCTTTGACTTCTATCAGTGGCTTACAGTATCAGATGTGAGTTGTGAATGAGACCTTAATAGAAAGCAGTCAGTTATACTCGTAACACCCATGCCATGATTGCACCAGTGGGCATAACTTGTCCAGCATGTAGTTGAATAGCATGCAGGATTTATAGTCAAATACAATTATTAGTGACACTTCCATTGCCAAAGTTCACATAGTACTTTCCACCATTTTGAAAGCCAGTCTACAAAGGGGAAGGGCATCCAATATGACACAAACTTATTTATCTGTGTTCTTCAGCCAACTATTTTGGTGTCTTTAGCAATAGGTTTTGCCATAAAGTTCTGCCATGCAACACTCAAGTATTGGTAATAGTCTTTATTGTTTGTGGGACTTTGTGTGCCTTTTAGTCAACAATACATAGGGAGTCAAGCCATCTCTGACAGAAAGATTTTCCCTTAATGTTATGTCCTCTGGAGTGACATTTCCTACTCACAATAGCTCTATTTGTTCTTCTAGATGCTTTACAAACTTGTAAGACACTTAAGGGTTACAGTTACATAATGAAACTTTTTAAATGAGGGTGCACAGGACCTCAGACATCCCCCACCATTATCTCCAAGTAAATACCAGTTGTTCACTAAAAATGAACCATTAACAAGAACCAGCAAAATATGAAGTGATTTCATTACTTCTATAAGTTATTTAATCAAAAAGGCAACATCAGTACAGCAGCATGGAAGAACACTTAACTCTCTGTTGTCCTCCATTACTCATAGACTTCTTCTATGAGTTCCTGGTCCTCATCAGTCAACTGCTACAATGCTGTGTATCTTTTTTTTTTACAACACCTTTTCTTATTATATATTTAAATTGGAAACAAGCTCGCTTACCAAGTCAGTCCCAGCTCCCTCTCCCTCCCCTCAATGCCTGCTCCTCCCTCAGCCTCCCCATCTAAACCCCACTCCATTCCCCAGGGAGGGTAAGGCCCTCCATGGGGGAATCTCTAGAGTCTGTCAATTCATTCCAGAGAGGTCCCAGGCTCTCCCCCAAGTGTCCAGATTGAGAGAACATCCCTCATTGTGGGATGGGCACCCAAAGTCCATTTGTGTGCCAGGGATATATACTGATCTACTACCCAAAGCCCCATAGATTGCCTAGGCCTCCTCACTGACACCTACATTCAAGGGGTCTGGATCAGTCCCATGCTGGCTTCTCAGCCATCAGTCTGGGGTTGAAGATCTCCCCTTTGTTTATGTCAGCTGTTTCTCTGGGTTTTACCAGCCCAGTCTTGACCCCTTGCTCATCACTCCTTCCTCTCTGTCACTGGGTTCCACGAGTTCAATTCAGTGTTTAGCTGTGGGTGTCTGCCTCTGCTTCTGTCTGTCACTGGATGGAGGTTCTAGGATGGTATATAAGATAGTCGTCAAAATCATTATCAGGGAAGGAAATTTAAGGTAGTCTCTCCATTATTGATTAGTTTGCCAGTTAGTGTCATCTTTGTAGATCTCTGGAAATCTCACTAGTGACAGATCTCCCCTCAAACCTAGAATGACTTCCTGTATTATTATATTTCTCATCCTGCTCTCCTCTATTCTTCCCCCAACTCAACCTTCCTGTTCCCCCATGTCCTCTTCTCCCCTCCTCTACTCCCCTCTATGTTTCCTGGCTCCCTCTCCCCTCCCCCACCATGCTCCCAATCTGTTCAGGAGATCTTTCCTCATCCCACCTTCTCTGGGGTATCACGCATATCTCTCTTAGGGTCCTTTCTGTTTCCCAGACTCTCTGGCAGTGGGATTGTAGGCTGACACTCCCCTGATTCATGTCTAAAATCCACATATGAGAGAGTACATACCATGTTTCTCTTTTTGTGACTGGGTGTTGTCTGCTAGTGCCATCCATTTGCCTGGGAATTTCAAGATTCCATTGTTTTTTTTTTTCTGCTGAGTAGTACTCCATTGTGTAAATGTACCACATTTTCTCTATCCACTCTTCAGTTGAAGGGCATCTAGGCTGCTTCCAGGTTCTGGCTATTACAAATAGTGCTGCTATGAACATAGTGGAACAGAAGTCCTTGTTGTATGAATTTGCATCTTTTGGATATATGCCTAGGAGTGGTATTGCTGGGTCTTGAGGTAGGCTGATTCCCATTTTCCTGAGGAATCATCATACTGATTTCCATAGTGGCTGTACAAGTTGGCACTCCCACCAGCAGTGTAGGAGTGTTCCCCTGTCTCCACATCCCCTCCAGCATAAACTGTCATATGTGTTTTTGATTTTAGCCATTCTGACAGCCTATTTCTCCTAGTGTGCCTTCAACACCTGAGATTCTTTCTTCCATCTTTCGTATTCTGTTGGTTATGCTTTCATCTGTAGTACCTGACCGTTTCCCCAGTTTTTCTATTTCCAGCATTCCTTCAGACTGTGTTTTTTTTATTGTCTCTATTTCAGCTTTCAGTCCTTGCATGGTTTGAATTATTTCTTGTAATTTTTGCTTTGTGTTTTCCTCCCTTTATTGCAGTTGTTGGATTTTTTGGTTTGTTTTTTCTTCCATTTCTTGCATTTTTGGTTTGTTTTTTCTTCCATTTCTTTCAGGGATTTTCTCATATCCTCTTTGAAGGTGTTTTTAAGGTATTGCCTTCTGCTTCATCTGCATTGGGGTTTTCAGGTTTTGGTGTAGAATCTCTAGACTCTGGTGGTGTCATATTTGTTTTTTTTTGTTGTTGTTGATGATGAGTGTGTTCTTTTATTGTCTCTTTCTCATCACTTCTTACAGTGGGTGCAGAAAGAGCCTCTTCCTCTCCTGGTGGGTAGGTGACCAGGGTTCCCTTTCGGTGGTTGCAAGCAAATCCCACGAAGGGCTCTTTACCACGGATTTAATTTACATTCTCTTATGTTTTAATCCAGCCAGGTCTAGGAAATAGCCAGCCAATGCCTGCATCTTGTGCTCTCCCTTTTCTGCTTTCCCTGCCAAATCAAGAGACTAATGTAATGTCTTTCTCAGTGTGATTCCTCTCCTATCTGCTAAGCTCGTTCTGGGAAGAAACCTGAATTTAGTTGCACACAGCAAAGGCCAAGCAATGGATGCCATAGCTTGCTTACGGCTCCTCCCATATATGCTAATTTCAAGGATTATAATGTATTTTCTACTCCATCAGGAGATTGGTGGACATTCCTACAGTGGCTTAATGGACTCCAGTCATCAATGATGCCTGCCACCATATACCAAATAGAAGATGGCCACACTGTGATTCCTCCCACGGACACTCTACTCTCAGACAGTTTACCCTCAGTTGTTTATCCTACCTTCCATCACAGGGAGCACACTACCACCACTACAGCAAGAAGGCACAACATACCTTACTATATGAGGAAAGGTAGCCATATTGGGATTGCCTCTGCAGACATCCATCCTCACAAACACCAGACACTGTTAAATGCCCTACAATCCAACACAGGTGCCACACGGATGTTGCTTTCCTAAAAGTCTCTGGTTTTGTTGGTGCCATATGACTTTTCTTGGATGATACAAACAAGTTATCTATTCGCCCCATATCGCACACCATTGATTAATCAAAGAAATGATTCTACTACATCTAACTTACTGAGCCAGTGAGTTTATTAGAGTTACTTACAAGAGTGTTGTTGAGTGGTTATGAATAGGAGCTGTATCTACAAGCCCACAGAACAGGGACTGCAGCTCACTACAGACATGGAGTTCTCTTAACACATTTTAAAAAGTAGTTCATCAGATCTAATTGGAAAATCTTCTCTCCTCAGCAATTATTACAGCTTAAATAACCAAGGGATGGGAGGGGAGTCTTGTGGATCTTTTAAGTTTCATAAACTTCCTTGAGGCTTTTGAAGTTTGTTTATTTACTGAGTTTTAATCGGCCTTCTCCAGAAGAGAATGTTTCAGTTCAGAGGAGATAGCTAAACAATAAAGGTACTATTTCCCTTCTAAAATCCTAATTAGTAAAAGCATGTCTAAGGCCAAACATAAAAATATACCACAATAGTAGCAAGGGCTTGGGAAGAATAAAGGATTTGGTGGGAGGTAGGAAACAATATGAAAGGAAAACAGCATGGAACATGAACAAAGACAATTTACTTACATATTAAGAAGGAAGAAATAACTTAAATTTTGACTTTACAATATATTTTCTACTTTTTAACATGTTTTTATTTATTTTTAAGAATTTATTTTGAAAATTTATTTTGTCATATTCTTTCCCCTCCTAGAACTTCTCTTAAATCCTTGCCTCTCCTTACCCATTCAACTACATGTTCTTCCTCTCTTAAAAATGCAAAAGCCAACCAAATAAACAGCAACAAAAACAATAAGAAGATGGATGGGCTGCAGAGCAACCAGGAAAAATCCAACTTGAGGGTGATTGGAGAATGAATGTGAACAAAATGTGGTGTTTCCTATATTTGTTTAAATGTGAATTTTTTTCAGTGAACAGCGGGAAGAAAATAGGACCACAAGCAGATATTTGGGTGAGTGGAGCAATGTCTGGGTTTGGAAATCATCTAGTCTGTTTTGCTGGGTCATTCTCTTGCTTAAGCACCACATTCACTCATTCTGGTTAATAATATAGAGTACTTGTCATCCACAGTCTATTGTGTCCTCTGTCCCAGGTAAAGGTGGAAATATATACATAGTAAATTTTGTTGTCATGATCTGGGGGAGGCGTTATACCTAAAATTAACTCATGAAAGATGTGTGATTGTGGTGTGCCTCACCCTTCTAACATGCCCAAGATGACCTTCTACCACTAAGAATTTACTGCAATAAGATGTAGATGGAAACTGAGAAACTTTGGGGTGGATTTAGAGTATTTCAGCTTTCAGTCAAAGATTGTATCAAGTGTCAAAAAATACATCACTCCTCCCATAGCTGGAACCAGCCAGCAAAACTTAGTCACATTTCTTCTTCTTTAAGTTTTGATAAGAATCCATTTGATTGACTATATTTTTTGAAAGGGACAATTGAGTGGACAAGAATCCAAAAAGAACTTTGCAAAAATAGCTACTGACATACTTCACAAAGTGGAACTCCATATATTGAATGAAAACTCAGCGGTGCCAACAAAGGGTGAAAATTCTTCATTGGGTATAGGTAAGAAATATCAAATTGACTTATAGCACAATAAAAATAATTGGGTTCTAGATATACTCACAGCCTATGAAGAATATAATCTGTTATTTCCTGGAATTGAAGACATAATGTATGAAACTACCACATGAGTAGCACTCTCTACACACATGTGAGAATTAAGGATGAGTTAATCACATTTCATAACTATCACAGAATACGTGAGGAAATCCACTTCAATCATGAAAGATTTACCTGACAGGGTTTGGATGTGATTGGGTCACAGATTTTCACTGGCGCTGTTGGCAAAGTGCACATGGCATGGGTCAATGTGCACTGAAACAGAGATCATGGATCTACAGAATGCTGAGCAGAAGGCAGAAAGAACAAGGGACAAGTCATACATATCAAATGCAAACTCTCAGTGGCTTATCTCTTCCAACTTACCCACTAGTATCTAGAACTTTACAAAAATACCATTAATCTGTGAATTCAGTTATAGATAGATAAACTGATGGTGCTAGAGGCCTCAAAAAGGACACCCAAAGCCCTAAGTAATGAGGCCCATGATATATGATAGGGTGTTTAAACAACCCATATTTGTCCCAGGTATGTATAGTGTATATTTTTTTAATGCTCAGAAGGGGAAGAGTGTTCAATCCTCTTTGCAATGCAGCTTCTTATATATGCTAATATTTATTTAGCTCCCTCTAGCCCCTATTCTTCTGTCACATAAAGGACCTGATTAAGTTAAATATCAATATCCAGTCAATCACCTCTCAATAACTACCAACTGAGGACAAAGCCTTCAGCATGTGGGCTTTACCAGGAGACATTTCATAACCTAAGGATTAATAACTAGTGTATGAGTCATCCTCTTAGTGATTCCAACCTTCCCAGATTGGTGAAAAGCATATAAAATCAGAATTCCAAATATAGGAACTCCCCAGAAAATATCATTGTCATCATCATCATTATTATTATTGCTACAAGTGTGGAAGAACTCACTTTGTCATTACTTTCAGTGTATGAAACCAAGAGGTGCAGCAGTATGATTCTTCTGGAAGCTGGAAACAACACGATGGAGATTGACTGTGCTAGTGCTCTCAAAGGAATCAAGAATGGAGGTGATATTTTTAAGATTAGCATTTTCTCCTACTAAGTGACTGGGTCAAGGGCCACACACTCACAGTCACAGAGGGACTCTAAGAGTAGGTAGAAAAGATCTTCCTTGACTACTGATTAGGCACATCAGAGACAAAGTTAAGGAACACTTACAAGGACAGCATATTTTTAAAATTTATTGTTATTTAAATTAGTAACAAGCCTGCTTCACATGTCCCTCTCCCTCCTCTCTTCCCTTGCCCCCCACCAACCACTACCTACCCCAGTCCCCCTCTGCTCCCCAGGGAGGGTGAGGCCCTCCTTGGGGGGATCTCCAGAGTCTGTCATTTCATCTAGGGCAGGACAAAGGCCCTTCCCCATGTGTCCAGGCTGAGAGAGCATCCCTCCATGTGAAATGGGCTTCCAAAGTTCATTCGTATGCCATGGTGAACACTGATCTACTACCCAAGGCCCCAGAGATTTTTGAGGCCTCTGGAGAGGGCATTCTTGCTGTATGTACTTGACAAACTTCTAATACTCCCCATACCATCACTACTAATTGAAATCTTTCAAATCTAAGAATGATAAAGTTGTAATAATGAGCTGATTTCTAAATGTTTTGTATTAATTTTATTTATTTATGTATTTTTAGGTATGAGTGCTGTCTATTTGTATGTATGTCTTCATGCCAGAAGAGGCCATTAGATACCATTATAGATGGTTGTAAGGTCCATGTGGTTGCTGGGACTTGAACTCAGGACCTATGATAGAGCAGCTGGTGCTCTTAACTGCTGAGTCATTGCTCAATCAAAATAAGTTGATTTTTAAAAGTGTAGTAAATGAAAACAGAGGCAGTTACTGACTGTAGCTTCAAATGGGAAGTATGGGTCAGAGGCTCCCCAGAGAGTATTGTTCTGTGCTTTGGCATGACTGGGATGGTCTCCTACTGCTTTGTTTTTTCACACATGGAAAGACATCCACTAGCCATTGTAATTTGCCTGCACTGAGATTCATATCCTAGAATGGGTGTGCCACACGCAGACTCATCTATCTCAGTGATGGAATGCTGTTCTGAGTTGAGCCTCCCAACATCATTCAATAGATAGACCCCACCTTTTCTTTTCTACACCAAGAGGGGAGTTAGTGTTTGACTAGATAAATGGTTTTAGGCACTTTTTTTGCCATAAACATGTGAGCGTCAAGAGCAACTAGTTTAATATTTACAGTATTAATCGGTTTTATTCTGGGGTTAAAAGGCAATTCACTATCTAGAATGTCTTTACAATAAACCTGTATAACTTTCTTTAATTTTACATGGAATCAACAAACAAGATTTCTATAATATAGTACACCCTACACACTGTAAAGTAACAACAGCACATGAATAATTGGAGTTTAGAAATTAACTTCTAATTCCATGAAAATGGGAGGAAGAAGAGAGAGGAAAATAGGAGGGACAAGAAAGGTTGGATAAAAGAGAGGAAAGGTGAGGAAAGGGGGAGATATATAGAGGAAAGGAATGTATTGTATATATTGATAGAAGAGTTGAGAGGGTTTGGGAATGAATAATTAGATAATACATTATGGTTACTTCAGAGTCCACACGTAAGATATTTGTGTATCAAATCTCTAGTATGATTTCCTTTTTTTCCCCTCAGATGAGACTGCAGTCGCTCTTATTGCGTATCAGTCCCTTGGAAAGTATCTAAATGAATCCTTTTTTAACAACAAAGGGATTAAGGAAGTAAAATTGAACTCTCTTATTGTGAGTGGCGCCATTCATTCAGAAGTCAAACCTGTCCTGTCTGAACCTGTACTCCTAACTTTACAAAATACTGAGGTGAGGTTACTCTCAAAATCCCTTTAAAAACAATTTTGAAGTTTAGATTTATTGCATGCACATGAGTGTTTTGCCTGCATGGACACCTGTGCACAAGAGCAAATAGTGCCCATAGTAGACAGAATATCAGATCTCTTATATCTAGACTTCCAGACAGTTATGGGACACAGTGTTGATGCTGGGTATGGAATTTGGGTCCTCTGTAAGAGCAGCAAGTTCTATTAAGTGCTGAGATATCATCCCTTCTGTGAAATGTTTGAAGGGGCAGATGGTCTAATCAAATTTCCAGAAGGGATGAGATCTAACTGTGATCATTGAAAAGTAATAGAAATTACAAAATGTTGAAAAACTTCAATCCTGTGTAACTTCATTGCTATTACTATCTGTATTTTCATATCAACAGTCAATCAACCAGGGTTCAGAAAAGGGGCCACAGGCCACCATTTTCAACTGTGGAAGGATTCGATGAAAGAAGACAAGGTTTTCACTTGCCCCTAGGTTCAAATGGGTACTTCAAAGCCTTTAATCACACAGATGGTCCCATTTAAATTCAGTGACAATTGAAACAAAACAAAAGATATGAATGTTGGAAAAGGAATTATGGAAAACTAGGGACAGTGGGGCCTGTGAGTGAGATCAAAGAGGCAGAGGGGACAACTAATAAGAATACACTTTACACACATGTAGAACTGTGAAGAGGACATTCGATTTAAGTTACCCAGGTTTTTAAACTGTATTGTGTATTGATTTTAAATTTTAAAATTGTGTGTATTGATGAGAATGTAGAAAATAGGAAATCATTGCACAATGTAGGAAATATATAGACATTAAGGAAAACAATATAGAACCTATCAAAAAATGAGAAAAGAAACTGCAGTGGAATTCATCAATCATGCTATGGTGTACATCCAAAGAATGAAAACCAAGATTTTGGAAAGAGACTGTATTTCAATAATTCCAATAACATCAGTCACCGTAGCCCGTAGCCAAGATTTGGGTGAGGGGATTCTTACATCCATTCATGGCAGGGTATGTAAATAGAATAGGACAATATAATAAAATATCATGTTGCCTTGGGTTATATGATGTCAAATGGTCAGGTCTGAAAATAATCATGCAAGTAACATTATATAGACTGAGCAAGTTGTGTTTAGGAATATATATATACATATATATGCATATATATACATATATATGTGATACAACAATGATTAATGATAAAAGAAGGCCGTGAATTTGAAAGAGAGCAAGCAAGCATACTTTGGAGGGAGGAAAGGGAAAGAGGACATATTAGTCAGTGTTCTTTAAAAAGAACAGAAACAGTAGGACAACAGAAAGACTAAGGATCCAGTAGTTGTTCAATTAGTTGTTCAGTTCATGAGACCAGATATCTGAGCAATCTCAGTTCGGTGATGAAGTCCAAGGGATGTCCTAGAGAGCTGCTATTCTTCAGTCTATGTTGTGGTCCCAGAGAAGTTATATTCTAACACCAGTGAAGTAATGTTTCAGCCTCAGGATAGGTGAACTTGCCAGAGAGAGTGAGGGTAAACAGTACCTTCCTTCTTCTGACCTCAAATGAACTGGACTTAGGGTGGATCACGAAAAGGACCAGCCCAGCATGGGTGAGGACTTTAAAGGCTAGAGTTTCCCTTCCTCAACTTTTCTCACGGCTTTTATAACCTTAACAAAGAATGGGACTTTGTGAATCAGGAATTGCCCAAGACTTCTGAATTGCACACTTAGTGGGCATTGGTGGTATAGTGGCGAGCATAGCTGAATTGAACACTTCCTGAATCTCAAGGATGGAATGCTTCAACCCAGTAGAAATTAGTGTAACACATACTCTTCGTCATTTTTTTCCACTAAAATATAATTACCTCATTTCCCCCCTTCTCTTTCCTCCCTCCAACACCCCCTCATATTTCCATCTTTTCTCTTTTCTCATATTCCTGGTCTCTTTTTCCTTAATTGCTACTGTTGCATACATATATTTCAAGTAGAGTAGATCTCCAAGATAATCACTAAAATTAAATTGGGAGGTGATGGATATACTTATTAACTTGGTTCTTATCTTGGGGTTTTAATTGCTGTGGCAAAGTTGACTTACAATTACACAGCCCTATTCATCATTGAAGGAAGTCAGAATAGGAACTCAAACAGGACAAGATCCTAGAGGCAGGAGCTGATGCAGAAGCCATGGATTAATGATGAATACTGGTTTTCTTCCACTTGGCTTGTTTGGCCTGCTTTATTACAGAACCCAGGACTACAAGCCCAGGGATGGCACTACCCATTATGGGCTAGACCCTCTCCCATTGATCACTAATTGAGAAAATGCATTACAGCTGCCTACCACAGCGGTATTTACTCAACTGAAGATCCTTGCTCTCAGATGACTCCAGCTGTGTCAAGTTAATATGCAAAATCAGTCAGTACAGCTCTAGTATTCCTTAAACATATACATTTTTCTTTGTGACTGACACCTCCAGAAAGCTGGGGGTGAAGTGCTAAGTCATCTGTATGCTTACACAAAGGGAAGCTATCATCATTCTGAAACCTAAGTAGGCAATGGGGCCCTGGGAACTATTGAGCATACTGAGAGTCAGAGGTAGGAAAGATGGACTGGTCTTTTCCAGGGGGAGCATGGAGCAGAAAGGCAGACTGTAAAAAGACACTTGACATCTCTCTTCAAGCACTGGTGTCTCACAAGTACCCATGATTCATTTCATCAGTGACAAGAAACTGGCAAATCAGTTCTAAGTCAATGCATAGGGCACTGAAATATGCGGAGAGAGAATAAATGATGAAACAAAATCTATGTGAGAGGAGAGGATGTGAAATGTCCCCACGTGTGTTTTCTCAACCCGATGTGTGTCATATTAACCTAAGTGGAGACGTTACCATGTAGAAGTGCAGAAAAGACAGGGGGATCAGGAAAGGTAAGAACTGAGAAAGATTAGAGGGAAAAATTAGAATGGAAATTATTAGATCATATATGCAAACCATTGTCACATATCTTTTTTTTCAAGACAGGGCTTCTCTGCATTGTTTTGAAGGCTGTCCTGCTCTATAGACCAGGATCTAAAACTCACAGAGATCCGCCTGCCTCTGCCTCCCGAGTGCTGGGATTAAAGGCGTGCGCCACTAACGTCCAGCTCCATTGTCACATATCCTAATTAAAGATAAACAAAAGTTGTAATTATGAAAAAATGTCCCACTATACTATTTTCTTTGCAGCCTATTGACCCAAGAGCAGAGCATCTCTGTGTCCATTGGGAAGGATCAGAGGAAGGGGGCAGCTGGTCCACTAAGGGCTGCTCTCACATGCACACCAATGACTCCTACACCACCTGCAAGTGTTTCCACCTGTCCAGCTTTGCTGTGCTCATGGCTCTATCCCTCGAGGTATCAAGTCTTGCAGGTCTCGACTATGAAAGGGATTTTCACTTTAGTATATGTCTATAAAAGCTAATTGACTGTAGGTTTGTTAAGGGATGATCCCAAGAAACACCCATAAAAATATGAGTGTAGTCTTGTTGTCACCTCTGTCATCTCACTGATGTCCTGTTGAAAGACTGATTGCCAGGGTTTAATCAACTGAACTGATTGGCTAGGAATGTGTCCTCCTTGCTTCTCCACCCTAACTCTTCCATGTACATCCCATTTTGGAGCTACATGCTTGGTCTTAGAAGGTGACCATCCATGAAAGAGGAGGGCCACGTTTTTTTCTCAAAAGTTTTGATAGTTTCTTTTGTTGTTGTTGTTTGTTTTTTGTTAGTTTCTTTACTGTTACTGGAATAAAATGCTGTGACTGAAGTCAATCTAAAGAAGAAGGTTCGTTTTTCTGTCAGATTCCAAAGCATGGCATCCATCATGGCACAGAAAGTGTGACATCCCAGCAGTAGCAGGAAGATGAACAATCACATTTTGTCCACAAACCGGAAGCAGAGAAAGAAAAAGAGGAGGGGCAATGAGGCACAGTTATAAACAGTCATTACCTTCCTAGAGAGACATATACCCTCTGGAGAGACTGTACCTCCTAGAGGCTCTGTAACTTCCCCAAAGTGCATCACCAACTGGGGAAGCAATGTTGAAATACCCAAACTGATGGGGATATTTTCCTTCTGAAACCCCACAAAGGTACATGGGTAGCTTCACTCCCCTGATAGAATTGCTAAATAAACTCTCAAGAAATAATAGTAGTGGATTGTGGAGATAAAATGGGAACAGTTTGGGTGACAATGCAAACAGTATTTATGAGTTAATTACCACTTTGGGTATACATGACTTATAGCATTCCTGGAAAATGCTCCGAATCAGTACAGAACACACAGTTCAGGGTTATTATAACTGAAGGATGGTGGAGCTTGGGTATGATCTTTCTTCAGTAATTTTATTTCAGCTGTATCCAGTGGTACCATTTCATGAAGGTTTTATAGTAACAGAAAAACAAAATCATGACTCAAGTCATTTTTAAAAACACAATGTTGGAAACATCAGCTAGATGGGTTAAGTGAAGCTGAGGAAATTCTGAATCTTCTGTTAAGTGTGTCTAGAGTAAACAGGACATATCAAGGAAAACCCTTAAATGTTGGGAAGTGGGGTTAGCAGACCCCAAAGTGGTAGGGCCAAGGGGATCTGGAATTGGATGCATTACTGCACTTGCAAGATAGTTATACTGAAACTTTCCCTGGTTGACCCAAACTAAGTCAACTGGCTATTATCAAGCATTCAGCATGGCTCCCTAGAATTTCCAGAGGTCAACTAGGTCTCAGGTTATTTAAGTTGAAGGAAACTTACCTAATAGCCTCCTATCTACATCAAATAACAAAATCACCAAAACTGCCTTTTCACAGAAAATAAAGAATACTTATTCAAGGGACAAATATCAATGACAATGACCCAGGGAAATAGGTCCTGATTACGCTAAATACCATGTTTCTATTGTAGAGAACAAAGAAAATAATGGATAAAGTCAATCCAAACGCAATTGTGGAACATCAGATAAGTGGATCACAGGAAGTTGGGAAATCTAGTACAGCCTCAATGCTGATGACATTTTGAGCCTTTGAGTTAGTGGAAGCTAGGGGTTTCCTTATGTATTTCAAAAGGATCTACAGAATATATATATAAGGATACTAGGTAACACAGAGGTGGTAGTAGATGATACCACAGGGCTAAAGACATCTATAATAATGTCATTGACATTCTGCAATGCTCCAACTCTCCACAGTCACAGGTTTCAGTCAGTAAGTCAGCCTTGTGGAATGTTTAACACTTGTGGCTTTTAGTCTGTAATTTAAATTTGCATTCCCCCATTTCGCTTTATCCCATTTATTAATATCTTACTATTCAATGTCCATCATGCTGTGTACTTTCACATACTTGTTTCATTCAGTTAATATTTATTAAGTGAATAGTGTGTGCTAAGCACTAATCTCAACATTGATGGAACAACAGATAACAAGACATGGCAAGTTCCCAGGCTTCCTAGTGTTGATGTTCATGATAACTGTTGTATAGACATGGAGACTCTGAAATATTCTTCTGTGGCTTGTAGGAGGACTCTGTGCTTTCTGCACTCTCTGTGATCACCTACGTGGGACTGAGTCTTTCTCTCTTGTGCCTATTCCTGGCGGCTGTCACCTTTCTCCTGTGCCGGCCCATCCAGAACACCAGCACCACACTCCACCTGCAGCTCTCCATTTGCCTCTTCCTGGCCGATCTTCTCTTCCTCACAGGCATCAACAGAACTGAGCCTAAGGTTGGTGACTAAGTCAGGTTACTTCATTGACCTAATCAGTCATAGTCATCTTACCCTGAGTAAGTATAAAGAGAGAGAAGTACATCTGTAGAGATGTTGGGAGGAAATGCAGGATGAAATTTTTAGCTCCTTTTCTGTGTAGAATTGAAGGAGTTTGTGTATTTGAACATTTTGGAGCTGAGAGCATTCCTAACAGTAATGTTACCTGACAATGTTCTTGGTGTATGTGGTATCTGTGTGTAGTGCATGGACACCACTGTACAGGTATGAGAAGTTATGTGTATGATTGTAGAAGCCAGCAAAAGGTTTCAGGTGTCTATTCTGTCCTCCTTATTGCCTTGAGACACAGTCTCTTACTGAATCAAGAGCTTGCCATTTTGGCTAGGGTGAATGACAAGAGAGCTTTTCAGATGTAACTGCCTCCCTAAGCCCATAGTGCTGAGGTTGTAGGCACTTACAGGCATGTCCAACTTTTATGTGGTTGTTGGGGATTTGAGCTCATGTCCTCATGTTTGCAAATCAAGTGCTCTTACCGAGTCATCACGTAAGTTTCACAACATCTGTTAATAGAGGTAAATAAGTATATTTGAGGTGTGCCCATTCTTTACCTACATGCTAAAGACACCTCTGTTAACAACTACACACAGCTTCAAAGTCATCCTTTAGGGCCAATGGAAAAATGGCCAAAATACAATATACTGTAAACGGGGAAGTTTATATGAAAGAAACCAGGAGTGCATACAACTTCCTTTCATAATCTACTTGCTAGACTCCTGCCACTTGACCCCATCAAACTACTAGGCCTGCTGGGTGATGTAGCCCTTGGCTGGGAAGTTCTTTGACTATCTACCAGACGCCAGAATCAGAGGTATGATTAGAGGCTTGAAGTGATTGACAGTCAATTTGCCACAATGCTTTGTAGGTGGTTTTTAACTTTTCATCCTTGTTGCTGCTTGGATTCATTCAAGTGACTTCTCACATAATAACTCAGAAAAATAATATTGAGTCATTTTCATGGACAAATTTGTCCATATTGATTGGGCATACAATGTGTTTTTTAGAACTTTTGGTAACATAAAATATTCACTTTATGATAGTTAGGTTATATGTCATGGGTTTCAACGTGCACCAGAAAACCCACTTGTTGATGACTTAACCTCAAATATAGTCATGATAAGGGTGGATCCCAATAATATAGCAGGACATTGGCAATAATTAAGTGAATACTTCGAATTAGCCAGAAACAATGCATTTTAGTATTTCTAGCACCTGCACAAATAAATGGTATATGTCCGGATGATAAATATGTCAATGGCACTGACTTGATCATTTCATGCTGTGTACACATATTGAAATGGGACAACATTTCAGAGGACTATGTTCTGTTAATAGGCATCCATTAAAATAATAATACAAGGGCTTGTTCCTGTAGTCAGCCACTTGGGAAGCTATAAGAGGATTGTGAATCAGAGGCCAGCTTTCGCAACATAGACTCTAGCCCAAAATAAATAAGTAAAAAATACAGGAAAGTGGTGGGCTCATTAAGAAGGGATTGCTACTCAGGGATTAAGACTCATCAACAGTTCATTGTTGCTATTGTGAGTGATTTCTATAAAAAAGGACAAGGGTTTCCTTCCCACTGTCTCAGCTCTTCTGTCATACTCTAATGTAACAAAGGAGTCTTCCCAGAAGTGGCACTTTGAGCTTTGATTTCCTAGCAGCTAGAGGAAGCTAGGAACATTTAGCTATTAGGAAAAACTCTGATCTTTGGTAAGGTGCTTTGGATCACCCAATAAACAAAGACCAGATCAAACTAATGAGCACATGCATTCTATCTAAAGATTGTCATCTTCTGTGTTGAAAATACTTGACACCTACCCTTAGCAGTTTCTCGATGCTGGGTATGATGCAAAATGATAGAGAAGTTGTCTCACCTGTTTTAGACTCTGCAAAAACAACCAAACCCCAAAGCAAGCATACACAAACAATGGGAAAACCAAGAAAGCAAAATACGAGATAAAATAAAACAAATAAGTAAAAACTCTGTCTCAGCTTGCATGGTAATCATACAATGTCATTGTTAAAGAAGAGTTTTGTTTCTTATATATTATTCAGTTTAATTTATTATTCTTATGTATTTTGTTAATATTTTCCCATAAAGAGAAGTATGTTTTCATGTTTCCTTTTGTAAATGATATTTTCCGGGTTTCGATATTAGGATCTGACTTCATAGAGCAATCAGGGAAGTAATGTTACAGTACCAGTTGCAAAATATTTGTAATGCTTACAGACTACAAGCACACATATATTTAAAATTCAATATCCTAATATTTATTTCTGTTATCACCTTATTTCGATGTGTAAGCTTGGGTGTCCATCTACTGAAAGTGACCAAATCTCATCTTGAGAGAACATCATATTATGTAGTACTAATAAATAGTGAATATTGTTTTCTGGGGGTTCATTATCATTTTCTCTGAATACAGATCCTGCAACAAAGAATTGAGGACCATATTTTATTTATTTTTTTCCTTTTATATAAGACACATTCAGCTAGGAAGGAAAATAAAACCAAGATGGAAAGAAAGACAATGAATGGGTTTTCAAGAAAGTGTCCAGCATAAACAGTTGCAGGTAGATTTCCCTGAAAACCTCTAGGAGGCAGCAAGAGCACATGTCATTGAAGTCTGAAGTTCAAGGACAATGGAGCATGGTCTACAAACCCTTGAGCATTACCAATTTGAGGCATGCTCTACAGTATCTACTATTTGGCATTTTCTGACCTGATTATTGATTGATGTGGAAAGTGAATTTCAATGACATGGAGGGGCTCCCTCAATGTCCATTCTCTCCAAGAAAGTTGCTATATAATTCTGTAGAGATTGCAGGCCAAGAACATACAGTGAGTAGTACGTACTGAGAATCGGATCAGGTACACCCTGCTTCGGCCCCACACTCTCTTTTCTCCCTCCTAGGTGCTGTGCTCCCTCATTGCAGGAATGTTGCACTACCTCTATTTGGCTTCCTTCATGTGGATGTTTCTGGAAGGACTACACCTTTTCCTCACTGTGAGGAATCTCAAAGTGGCCAACTACAGCAGCTCAGGACGATTCAAGAAGAGGTTCATGTATCCTGTAGGCTATGGAATCCCTGCTTTTATTGTCGCTGTGTCTGCAATAGCTGGCCACGAAAATTATGGAACACACACCCAGTAAGTATAGAGTGTATGCAGGGTAGAAATGTATAAATGTAAGTTCAACGTCAAACTTTTCATTGGACAACTATCCTTCCATTTTTTATATTGTTCCTCAAACCAGCCTGTCTGCATATTACTGTCTTTTGCAAACCCCAATCGTGTTGGTTCTCAGTTTCTTGTTTTGCCGCTATTTGTTGAGTTAGCATTTATTTTAGCTATAACATGAAAGTTGTTCATTCATAGCTACTACTTTTTAAAATCCTCATTGCTTCTCCAGTCATTTAATCGTTCCCATTATTTGATCACTTTCTACTTTCAGACTTGGGAAATCTGATGCTCCTTTGCACCCATCTTGTGTCAGATAATAACTCCATCTGAAATCCAGCTTGGAAAGAATGGTTCTGCACAGTGTCAGATCGTACATTGGGGGCCTCTGTTTAACATCTATAGTGAAAGAGATAGCTAATTCTTATCTCCTATCCACAGCTGTTGGCTCAGCCTTCACAGAGCATTCATCTGGAGCTTCTTGGGGCCAGTGGCAGCCATTATCTTGGTAGGTGTATTATTGGTGGGTGTGTCTACACTCAGTTGGCCAACAATAGAATGTACTTTTTTTGTTAAAGTGGAACTAAGGTGAAGATGTGGAACCAGAGCTCAGTCTGAAAGGTACTTGTTCCTGAATATATTGTCATCATTCAGCTACCCCTCATTTGCTCATCTCCCTTTAGCTGATTTTTCAAATTTGTTTTTGAGATTTTTACTGAAGTATACAAGGAACTATGGTTTTAATTACCCCCTATTTCTTCACTCCAGTTTTCCTCCCAATTTCACATCCTCTTCTTTTTTAAATACATACAAATAAGTCAAAATAATATAGCCTGTATGTGCATGGGCGTGGAGCCTAGCATATCAAAGACTGTAGACAAAAAGGATTATTGAGTCTCTGTCCTATTCCAGCTATCAAGACCTCTCATTTCTTAGTTGGGGTGAAACCTCAAGAGTTTCTTCTTCTCCCATGCTGAAATTTTTACTGGCTTGGTTTTGAGTGGATCTTACGTGGATTGCCACAATGGCTGTGAGTTCATGAGTACACTAAGTATGCCATACACAGAAAGCACTCCCCAGGACTTCCCCTCATCCTTCATCTCTTATATTATTTCTGGTTACTCTATTACAATTTAAAATATATAACATAGCAGTCCACCATGGATTGTTTTTAACGTTCTACATTCATTAGTTGATTTGTACTTTCAGAAAACATTAAGTGAATATCCATCTACTCTGCACAAGATGTCTTTCTATTTTTGAGAAACATTAATTAGTACTTTTTGCCTAGGTCAGGAATAGTAGCTTTCTACTTCCAAAATATCCTATTTGGACCAAAAATTATACAGGAAACTAAACAAGAAATTAGGGCTACAGGACATATATCATTTGCTGTAAACAATAAATCAGAGAATGTCCATGGAATTCTTATGGATCCTGAATTGTTTGGAGAATGAATCTCAGCTCCAGCCAAAGTTGTATTATATGAAGAAGGAACCCTAAAGGAAAACTCCAATGCATTTTCTCATGCCATTCCCACAGATAAACCTGGTGTTCTACTTTCAAACTATATGGATTTTGAGAAGCAAGCTTTCTTCCCTCAATAAAGAAGTTTCTACTCTTCAGGATACCAAGTATGAATGTACCAGAATCAGCTCTTCCCATTGCAACATTTTCTAGGGAGAAACCCTTGATGGAAAATATGGTATTGGGTCTGGCTCTGGTTCATAGATAGAATTCTTGGTTAGTATGTATGGAGCCCTGGCTCCCACACCCAGACCAATAAGCAAAACCACAAAAAACACACAAATGTAGGAAAAAACTCCATGTACACTCCCCTGGTCATAATCATGAACACTGAATAGAAGAAGTTAGAAAATTCTGTATTTCAGACAAACTAGTGTATTCCTTCTATTGTATACTAAGACATTTTTATTATTTAAATTTTGGCCAATCCATATTAAGGGAGAAAGCATATGTTTTATCTCTCAGTCTTGAACTGTGTATAGTCCACAACCATAGGAAGGTCAAGGCAAGTAGGTCTTGAAGTACCCGGCACTACTTCATCCACAAATGGAAAGAAGATGGTAATGAATGCATCCACATACACAGATCCCTTTCTACCTTTTATACAGTGCACCATCCCAGCACAGTGAAATTATGCTGCCCACATTGGGAAGGACTTCCTTCCTCAAATTACCATAACCAAGGTATTCCCAGAAGTCAACCTTAATTGAAAGACTCCTTCACAGGTGTGTTCAGAAGCAGGCCATTCAGGTGATTTTAGTTCCTACTGAGTAGACAATTGATGTATCACACTTCACCCCTTATTAATTTGATACCCAAACACTTCGTTTTTAAACCATTATATCCTATTCCTTGTCCTCACAGGCACACAGCCATCTCTTAATTGAAAATCCATGCAGTCTAAGTCAAAAGCCCCCGTAGACACTAACAGTTTCAACATCTTAAAAGACATCAAATTCAGCTGGGCCTGCCACTCCTCCCAGTCCCTCCCCACCTCTCTTGTTCCCCAGATTCATTCCTCTTCCATTTCTTGTCCATAATAAAAGAGCAGGGCTTCCAGTGTTTTACACTGAGCATGGCTTAGCATGCTACAAGAAGACTAGGCACAAACCCTCATATCAAAGCTGGGTGAGGCAACCCACTAGGAGGAAAAGGGTCCAAGAGCAAGTGAAAGTGTTAGAGACACTCCACTCCCACTTTGGGGACTCATAGAAGAACAACAAGCTATACAGCCATAAGGTATATGCAGAGGACCTAGCTTAGACCCATACATGGTCTGTGTTGCTTCAATCTCTGAGAGTCCCTATGAGCTCCACATAGTTGATTCTGTGGGCAATGTTCTCATGGTATCTTCTACACTTCTGGCTCCTACATTTCTCCCTCCCCCATTTCTGCAGGGTATCCCTGGCTCCACCTGGTGTTTGCCTGTGGACCTTTGTATCTGCTCCCATCAGTTGCTGCATGGTGGCCCCACTGATGACAATTGGGATAGGCACCAGTCTATGAGTATAGCAGAATATCACTAAGAATTATTTCATTTACTTTTTTTTTGCCAGTCGTACTTGTTTCTATCAGGGGTCTGTGGGCTATCCTGCCTCTGGTTTCTGACCACCCAGACAATGTCAGGTGTGCACTCACTCTAGTGGTGTGACGCCCAAGTTGGGCTAGTCATTGGTTGGTCACTTTCACAAGTTCTGCACTACCATTACCCCAGCACATCTTGCATAAGGATAGATACATTTTTAGTAAGCAAAAATTTCCCAAATATCATAACATAACACATAAAAATATGGTTTCCACCAATGCTCACTTTTAACATATAGTGAAAGCCTGATGAACAATGTTTAACCTTGTTTTTGTTTTCTTCCAGGATCATGACATTTAAAGCCATTGTTCAGCTATTTGTACTGGGATGTTCTTGGGGCATTGGCTTATTTATGGTCTTTGAATTCGGAAAGACAGTTAGATTGATCATTGCCTATCTATTTACCATCATCAATGTCCTGCAGGGGGTTTTGATATTTGTGGTGCACTGTCTTCTTAATCGCCAGGTAAGGCTGTCTCATTTCTTACCAACCTAGCAGCAAAATTTTATTAGACCAGTACTCACATTTTTGGAGTTTCATATTTTGATTTCAAAAATTCATTTATTTAATATAGTTTTAAGTTTTGCCTAGACATCCCACACATGGCATTTTGTATCTAGTCAGCATCTAAGCATATGTCTTAAAGGCATGTCAAGATGAGGTGGACTATGCTACATTAACAAATAGCACCTTCTTACCAATTTTTCAACCTTGGTGACTTAAAAACTTAAGATTTCTTTCTTGTACCTGGTATATAGTTGTCACTTGGTTGAATTAGTGTTTTTGAAATGGAAAAGTCTTCACTTGACAGTGATTTAGTCTGGCATTATGGTCACAATGTGGGATATTATTTGTCTCATATCAAACGGGAAGGAGATTATATGTAAATCACACCTTAGATCTTAAAGCTTATACACAGCTCTTACAAATGTCGTCATTTCTGCCCTCTCTTTAATCATCCCAAGCAAACTTCATGATGAAATTTGAATTCACTAAGGAGGTGATGGGTGGTTCCCCTGTTGTGATTAGTATTGTACAGAATGACACTAGGGTATTTGGGACAATCTACCTCCCCCTCAGTCTTCCATTTAGTAGTTTGTTTTGTGACCTCAAGGAGGATGCCCATTCTAAATGGACCTTATCACCTGGAAGTGTTACAATGTCTTACTTTGAAGGGTTAGGATTATATGATACAATACAATATAATCCAGAAACACAAGTTGTTTATCGTGAATGTCACTGTAGTCACACTGTAATCTCTATTTACAAGAATCTTTGGTGAACTTTTTGTTTGTTTGTTTCTTTGCATTTGGATGCTAATACCAACAGTTAAAGTTCTAATACAAATGGATCATCATTATAATAGTTCATTAATTATTCTTCTATAATTCTGTACCTACTTTATGTTTGGTACTCATCCTTCACAGTGAAATGGCTTAGGAAAAGTTAGGTTACTTTGACCACATACCTCCCTGCCTCCGGAGTCTTGTTCTTAAACAGCTTCTCCCTTCTGATAAAAGATTCTTATAAGGTGTTTTACAGATCAAATGGTTTCTCCTTCCCTAATGGGAGAGGATCATGGGCAAATAAAAGTTTTCTCTGGATATATGTGTGATGTTTTACAGATCAAGGGACTCTCTTTTCTGTTGTAAAACAGCCCCTTGGCCTGCAACTGGTGTGATAGGATTATAGCCTTTTAACTCTGAAAATCCTTACCTTGCCTTGATTCTCTTCCAAGAGTTTGTTTTTTCCTGAAGGGCTAGTCTGCTCTTGGTAAGCTTGCTAATTATAAAGGACTCGCTATATTCTTAATGGGAATAGTATACATGGTGATCTGTAACTTTTTTGAGTTAAGTATTTCAGCAGAAGTAAAATGTAACATGGGTGTCTTTGTGAAATCATGTTGAGGGGTAAAAAATTCAAATTATATTTTTTTGCTCTTTATCAATTTATTTTTTACATTCCAATTCCAGTTTCCCCCTCCCTCCTCTCCTCCTGCTCTCCCTACCCCCCCAACCTCCCATCTGCTCCTTGGAGAGGGTAAGGCCTCCCATAGAAAGTTTACTAAGTCTGTCCCATCATCTCATTGAGGCAGGACAAAGGCACTCTCCTCCTGCACCCCTGACTCCCGGGTGTAGACTGAGCAGGGTGTCTCTCCATACATAATGGGCTCCAGTAAGTCACTTTGTGCATTAGAGTTAGATCTTGGACCCACTACCAGTGGCCTCATATATTGTCACAGACCCACCATTGTCACCTATATTAAGGGAGTCTAGTTTGGTCTTATGCAGGTTCTCAAATTATATTTTTAATACAACAATGATTTTTAAAAAGGCAGACCATGGAATCGTATGCTGCTCTTTCATGAACACTGTTAAATGTTACTTTCATAGGATTTAGATTCTATAACCTGAATTAGAGATTAAAATTGGATTTTTTCTATTGAGTTCATGTGAAAGTTAAATGTTATTAACTTTCTATTAAGTGCCTCACATACACCTATTGTTTGGTAAATTTTGGCCACCATCATCACACTCTCATCTTCCTTTATCTTTTCGTCTTCACCACCATCATCCTATCGTTGTCCTGCTCACTATCATCACTATCATGTTCATCATCATAGTTGTCTTCATATCATCATAATCATCTTCTTCGTTACTGTCATCATTCTTACCACCATCACTACCGTCATTACCATCAACTTGTCACTACCATATCACTAATACATCCTTCATCATACTTATTAGCACTACAATAGTTATCATAATCATCGTATGTATCATGCCATTCTTATGACCGTTCTCACCAGTCATCATACTTCAGCATTAATACCACCATAATTACCATGATGATCCCCATTATATTTACTGCCGTCATCAGTATCACTGTCATCGTCATCATCATCATCACTACCATTTTGGTCACTGTGACTATATCACATAACCATCATATTAATCATTATCAGTCCTAATGGGACTACTCTGATCATTAGCATTATCTTTATTATCATCAGCATTATCATTATGAGCATCATGACTTTCCTTATCTTCATTATCACCATCACATCCAACAGAATCACGATTATACAGTTATACTAATTACCAACATTTTTATTATAATCACCAACATTACTATCACCACTAGCAACATCATCAAGTCCTTCTGGAATTTAACATAGATTCCTTTTTATAATAGAAGAAACTGAATTTAAATAAAATTAACAAGCTCAGATGTAGTCAAATACCTATTAGAGAGTGTGATTTGGTGTTTCTTTTGTATCTCATATTAGATAGATTCCATTTCCTTGAACCAAGTTTTGGGTGTGAACCATGCTTCTAATTATTCTTTCAAACTTCCAGGTGCGAATGGAATATAAGAAGTGGTTTAATAAGATGCAGAAAGGTGTTGAAATTGAAAGCACTGCAATGTCTTATTCCACTACAAACACCAAAACGGTAAGCTCAGCTTCCAAGAAAGGCTTTACCTGACCTGATATGATTTCTCAAGCAAACAAGTTTCCTCTCTGTTCCTCCAAAACAGAATTTTAAAATATGGCCTACAGTATACAGTCACAGTTTCTAAATTTGGCACCCAAATTCTTTCCTTCATTCTCTAATTTCTTCTTGCCTTCCTCCTCCATTGCTTCTTTTCTTGACCATGTCTTCTCTCTCTAACATCTCTTTAACCTCCAATATTCCTTCCTTTATTTCTCATCCTTCTCCCCATCTCTCCTGAATATTCACATAAGAAGACACAAGTCGACACTCATTAGACATTACTAATGAAGAATCTGCAAACAGCACAGGATGCTGCAGTCTCTGGTTAGATGAGTGATACCACTGAGTTTCATAGTGCAGTTGAGAACTGAGAGATTTGCTACCCTTTGCCTTTGCACTTTCTAACCTGTTTCCTTTGAGAAAAGACACATGACCCATCTTTCTTCTCCTTGCTGAGACCCTGATCACCTTCTGCTATGCCCTTCACTCCACAGGAGAAATGGACTTTAATATATTCACATGCCTCCCTATATATTGGTTTATTATATGATCGTCTCAGTCCCTGCTATGTGGGAATTTGTCTACAGACTCTGTGAATGAATCAAGATTTTCCCAAGAATTATGATCCTCTGAGAAATCAGGCCAGTAAAAACAGGACATTTCTCAAGATGGTTCTTGTTTCTAGATCATTGGTCCTCTTATGAGCCATAGAATTGAGTTCTTATTTTGTGCTAACTTGCTGTGCAGGAAGAGTCACACTCAGACCCACCTCTCTACCATGCGCAAAAGCACTGAGAACTGTGCAATTGGGGGTTTGGGGGATAGTACATTCAATATAGTGTTTGCCCTGGCAACATGAGGACAAGTTTCTATCCCTGGCATCTACAGAAAATAAAGCAAGGCATGATGTGCATTGAGCAGATAGAATCAAAGGATTCCTTGAGTTCTTTGAACATCTGATCTAGATGAATAGGTGAGCCCTTGACCAGTTACAGATCCTGTCAAAAATGAAGGCATCTGAAAAATGACGGTTGCATATGTCCTGTGGTCTCCATTTGTGTGTATATCCATGTACACATGTACCTACACAAACACTTGAGTGTTTAAATGCACACACATGAAATTTAATCACTCTAGCTACTACTATGTAGTTATTTATCAGTTTTTACCACCTTCTCTAGCTTGTCTTATGCTTGTACCATATAAATTTCATATAATTTACTTTCAAAGTACCATAATGCATCTTCATGAGAGAAAATATATACATTGACTTCAAGGTGCTGCATGATAAAATTATCCATTGCTATTGTCTATATTCAGAGAACTTATTAGACTGAGGAATTTATTCGGAAACCATAGACTCTTGAGTGCTGAAAATCTTGTTGCTGATCTCATCTGTCATTGTGACCATGGTGGTATGCTGTGCCCATGTATCTGTTAATACAAATAATGATTTATTTGAGGGGAGAGGGCTGGGGAGATGGCTTAGTGAGTAAATAAAGTACTTGTTATGCACAAATGGGAGCCTGTGTTCACATCTCAAGAATCCATGTAAAGCTGATGTTGTAGCTCAATCTTTAATCCCAGTGCTAATGCATCAAGATGCGAGACAGAGACAAGAGTACGCCCAGACATTCAGGGCCACTATTTGATAAACACAGTAGCAAACAAGAGACCCTCTTTCAAACAAGGTAGGAGGCCACAAGTGACACCTGAGGCTGTTCACTGACATCCATGTGGAAGACAGGGATGTGGTCAGTTGTACTCACACAAATGAACACACACACACACACACACACACACACACACAATCCATTCAGCACGCACAAAAGACAAGTAAGTATAATGGTTCTTGAAGGGGAAGGAAAATGTGCATCACTAGCAAATGAAAATAAAAACCAGTGGGTGTGGTTTCATTCCTCTATTAAAGAAAGTCTGTAAAAGGTGCCAAACTGATTCGAAGGGCTAGTGAGATCCATAATGACAGACAGGCCAGGGAAACACGCACTGTTCTGCAAGGAGACTGTACGTCCCTTGCCCTCCTCTCCTCTGCCCTTTCTTTCCCCACCCTCCCTTTTCTTGCCTCCCTTACCCTTCCTTCTCTTCACACATCTCCATGCCTTTATTTCCTTTCCCATTTTCTGGTTAGTAATCCTTGTCAACTCACCTGGATTTAAGATCACCCAAGTGATTTACATGTGGTTATTCTGTGCGTGAGGATTTCTAAAGAACTGTAATTGGGTAGGGATGACCAATTGCACATAGGTGACACCTTCTGTTGGGATGGGGTATTAGCATGAATTAAAGTAGAAAAAGAGAAATATCTGAGAGTGGACAATCCCCTTTCTCTGGCTCCTGATCTTCCCAGATGTGAGAATCAACTTCACACTGCCATACATGGAACTGGTCCTACCACCATTCCCGCAGAGCACTATGCTCTGAGCCCTGAGCCCAAACAAACTCTTCTCTCGTGTTACTTCTCAGCTACTTTCCCAACTTTCACTTTATTTTCTTCTTAATGAGCAGATCAGTTGTTAATAAAGGGAGTGTTCACTGTGGTCATGTGGGTAGCATTTTTAAGTCAAATACTACATTTATTTAATAGAGTGCCTCTTGCCCCAGTTGTTTCTATTCTATATTAGTTGTTAACTGGCATTCCACATTCAAATACATATTTTTCTTTACCTTGTGTTAATCTCTGTGTATATAATGCATTTCACTGAAATTAATGTCCTCCATCTCCATCCATGTTTTATTACTAAACAAACCATTTATAACCAGGCAGTGGTGGTACATGCCTTTAATCCCAGGAGGCAGAAGCAGGTGGATCTCTATGAGTTCAAGGCCAGTCTGTTCTACAGAGTGGGTTCTAGAACATCCAGGATTTACACAGGGAAACCCTGTCTCAAAAAAGAAAAAAATCATTAATTTATTTTATGTAAATTGACAGTTTTTGTCTATGTACCTGGTGACCACAAAAGTCAGGAGAGGGCATCAGATAAATTGTAATCGTAGTTACAGGCCATTATGAAACACAACGTGGTATAAGAAATCAAATTCCAGTTCTCTGGAGAGTATCTTTTACTCATAACTGCTGAACCAGTTCTTCAGCCTCTCCTTTTTTTTATAAATATGGGAGAAATTTTTGTGGTTCTATAATACTCCATGTGTATGTAAAGCATATTTTCATTATTTATCTGACAGTAAGTATTTCTGTAGATTCTGCATGCTCAGACAGGTATCTCTGTGATGTTTCAATGGTAAATATGATGAGATAACATTTGTGATGCTGTGGTTACCAGGTGTCCTAGTTAGTTTTCTATTATTGTTATAAGACATTATGACCAAGATAATTCATAGAAGAAAGAGTTTATTAGAAGCTTGCAGTTTAAGAAGGGAGGTCCATTCTAATCATGGAATTGAGCATGGTCATAGGCAGGCAGGCAGGCATAGCACAGGAGAAGTGGCTGAGAAATTACATCCTGATCCACAAACACAAGGTAGCAAAAGTGAGACACTGAGAATGCCATTGGCTTTTGAAACCTCACAGGCCTCCCTCCAATGAAAAACCTCCTTTAGCGAGGCCACACTTCCTAATCCTTCCCAAATGCTTCTGCCAAATGGGGCCCAAGAACTCAAATATATGAACATATGGGAGCCATTCTCATTCAGACCATCACACTGGTTAGTCTGAATGCTGATCAAATGTAATTGAATAAGAATCAGAATGACATCCCTGAGAACATTGTGCTCTATTGTAGTATACTGTCACTGCTACATATTTTAATATCAATTTTCAAGAACCAACTACATAAAAATGATCCAAACACTAGTCAGAAATCCATGTTTAGATGTCATGTTTCAGTATAAAAACTCCATATAATCCTTATAATGGTAGTAGATTTTCTGTGGCATCTAAATGGCCTGCCATTGTTATATTTAATTGGAGTCAAAACACATAAGTTCAAACACCCACTTCTAGGATATGTGGTCTGGGCAAGGCATTTAATGTCTCTTTGCTTCAGAGCTCTGTCTGTAAAACAAAGATAATATCAATCTCATCACAAAGATTAAATAACGATTTGTATGATAATACCTAGGAAGATGTGAGGGACCACAATAAACCTACTGTCATGTGAAAAGATAAAGCAAGATAAGTATTTCAGATGTGGAAGTGATGAGGGATTCTACAGTCAGCTACTAGGATGTGCTTTCTAAGCTTTAGATCTTACCAAAAGCCTTAGCTTGTCACCCCGACATGATCTAGAATTATAGTTTCTGAGGTGTAAATTTCTGTTCATCTCTAAATATCAATTTGTTATAGGAGGAAGTTGGAAATCGGCAGAACTGACTCACTGAGAGCGCTCACAACTTGAGCTCCTGCTTTGTAACGAAGGACCATTGTCAACCCCACGTGGCCACTCATGGATTAGGTTCATGTCACCATTCTTCCATGTGAATTTGCCTTTTGAAAAGAAGTTTTCTGTGACTGATAATGCAACTCTACCTGTGAATGCATTTCACTGGGAAATTTTCATACATTGAAACATACTATACATACATACAGCTTTGACCATGTCCATCTCCCTTCCCTTATCCTCACCTGACCCACTGTACTTAATCACTATTCCTGTACTCGATAACTCCTCTTCCTTTTAGTTTTCAATGCAATGGAAAATTCTAATATTTCTCTTGCTACATCTCACTTAATTACTCTAACATATTTTCTTTGAATTCCATCTATGTTTCTGCAAACAATAGGTTTTTATGCTATTTCAAAATAGAAAAAATATGCCATGGATTATATAAGCCACATTTTCTTTATCCTTTGAGGGACACTGAAGCGGACTCTACAGTTTGGCTGTAGTGAATAGTACCTCAATAAATATGACTGTGCTGTTGTAGGACACAGTCCTCTGAGAAAAACAGCTGTCATATTCATAAGATCAGCTATGACTGCTTACAGGCTTGTTGATTTTCACAGAGGAGGGTTGGGGCATGTCACTGGACACTCACCTGAGAAACATGCCATGATTCCCAAGCATTTGTTTGAAGTTCTGCCCTAATATTCTGACCTTGGTGTCTCCAGAGGTGCTATAGTATATAGTCTGCATAAAGTTTATTGACAGAGACTCATTGGTGCAAGTCTGGGAAGTCTCTCCAGTGCTGCTGTTCTGAGGTCACCTACGTGTTTGTAAACAACCTTCACTCAATAAACTCACTGGCTCCCATGGTGACATTGGGTGAAGTCTTACTTTGGTTTGGTATTGCTACCTTGTGTGGAGGGGGTAGACTGTTATGTCTCCTAAAAAAAGGAAATCACTTGTTCTGTGACAAGGTAAGCACACTTTCAGTTTGTGGAGACTCTGAACCTCTCAGTTACTATATGAATACATACCTCTGCTAACAGTGCTGATTGTGAATTCCCTCCCCATCTTTGTCAGCATTTTGTGTTATCAGTCTTTACTGGGTCATCTATGATGAGGGCTAAGAACTATACTAATCTGTGGGTATAAAGATAACAACTTAACAAGAACATTATTACTATGTCCATGTAACAAAGTGATGCTATTGCATTCTCCGCTAGGACCTAGAACCTAGCCAGGTACATGTTTTGGGGACCTTTAATGATACCAGACATAATTTGCCTCTTAGAGAGTGGGTTTTAAATGCAATAAGAAAGTGGTTTGATACACCTATAGCATTTGGTTACCAGTGAGCATTATCTTCCCAGGCCAGTCATTATTTTAGCTCAAAGTGTTCAAAGACAGGTTGTTGGGGAAGTCCTTTGTCAATAAAGCACTGTCTGGCCAATAGGGAATCTAGATAGGAGGGACTAGGAGTCCAGGAGGATTCTGGGAAGGAGAAACACAGGAGAGTTCGAGATGTAATGCCATGGGGTAGGAGCCCGGAACTATTCTCCGGTAAGAGACATACTTAGATTAACAATTATGGGGTAATTACTTAAGTCAGAGCTAGCCAGTAAGAAACAAGCAAGGCCAACAGCTTCATAATGAATATAGCCTCCTGTGTGTTTATTTGGGGACTACAAAGTGGCAGAGCCCAGGCAACTGGCGGGAGATAAACCAAAGCAGCTAGCAAAGAAAAAGCTTCTCTTAACAACAGGTGTTAGCGACACTGATCCTAGGGAGATAAGAACAAATGTCTACCCACTCTAGATAGGGAACTAAGAGCAGACCAAAGTAAGCCACTAAAATCTAAGTGGTTGAACCAATGAGTTTTGCTGAGGTTACTCACAGGAATGATTACTTATAGGAGAATACAGGATTTAACGGTGGTTTGAATGAGAATGGCCTCCATAGGCTCATATATTGGAATGCTCCTTCTGCAGCTGGTGAAATTATTTGAATTTAGGAGGTGGTACACTGGTGGAGGAGGTGTGTTACTAGGGGTGGTCTTTGCATTTTCAAAAGACTGCACCATTCCCACTCATCTCTCCGTCCCTCTGCATCTATTTTTCTGTTTCCCTCATGCTTTTGGATCAGATGGCAGGTCTCAGCAATGGCTCCAGCACTGTACCAAATGAAATGCCGCAGCACTTCCTATCATGAAGTTCATGGACTCTACTGCCCTGTGGAACTATTCACTCAAATTTCAATCAAATATTTTACAACTTCCTTTGGAAATGGTATTTTGTTACAGCACTAAAAAAAAGTGACTAAGACGTGACTCAGAGACAAGTCTGTGTCAAATATGGGTGTGATTCACAAAACCTGGCAACTTGGAACACAACTTGCAGGCAACCTCACAGGTTACATGTCTGAGGAATCTTGATTTATCTCTTCTTCTTAAAAGCAGCTTTGCTTGTCTTAGAGTGTCTCTCAGTTGCCCTTCCTGCTCATATGTACTTGGAGATGGAGAGTTCTAGTGTATCTGGTCAGTTTCAGAGATTTCCTGTAGCCTTTTAATACTTTACTTCCAGAACTTAAGGTATTTCCTACGGAATAGAAGGTTTCACCTCCTTTAGAACATCCTTCCTGTGCCTTGATCAGAATACCTGTATGTTAAAGAGTTTTCAACTTAGAAGAAACTGCCACACAACAGTAAGACTGCTGAAAACTTTTCTCTCCAGTATTGTATGGAGAAAACTTACAAATTGTGTCAACTGGCCAGTGGAAGGAAGCTTGCTGGTCAGATATATATATTTTCTCCATGTCTTATGATGCAAGTATATGATGTCCTCAATATTAGGGTCTTACTATCAAGTTCTGGAGAGTGACCAAGAGCAAATGACATAACCTATAATGGCTGGAGTGTTCTATGAAACACCTCAGATCAACATCTTCAAACGAACCCATTCCTGGCATAGGGCTTTTTATTTGATACCCTGTAGTAAATTTGTGAGGTGTTTTCCCTCTATACAATGGGATAATTCCATTGGAGCTTTCCCCAATCTGTAAAGCTCTGTTTATGAAACTTCTATAGGAGTAGATTTCCTTACAAAATTGCCAAAAGAATTTAGTATTAGTTATTCCTCCCCATACTCCCTCCTTTATTCTGCCCATCAGTTCCTGACCACCCTGAGTCCTCCATTAGTTCCTTTCTCACCTTCATAAAATCTGTATTTTATCACCTGTTTGTTGAAGCCTCCCCTCCTTATGAACTCTTTCTAGTTTCTTCATTTTTATGGGTACTCCATTTTTAAAACATTTAAAGTTTCAAAGACAGTAACTACATATAAGAGAAAATCTGTGGCATCTGTCTTTTGGGATTTGCATTATCTCATTCAAAATGATTGTGTCTGGATCATCCATTTACCTGAGAATTTCATAATTATGCTTTTGGCAGGTGGATAATACTCTATTTGTGTATATGTATAAAATTTTCATTATCCATTTGTTGGTGGATGGATATGCAGGCTATTTCCTCTGCCTGAATATTGTAACTAAAACAGAAATCAACATGGATTAGCAAGTAACTTGTAGTAGAATATAGATTCATATGGATTGGGTCCATCTTGGTGGGATAGTTGTTCTGTTTGTTTTGTTTTTTCCAAGTTGACAAAAATCTACATTTTTCTGAGAAGAGGAAAACTTAATTAAGAGTCCACAAGATTGCCTAGTATACAAGCCTGTGGTGCATATTCTTGATTAACGACTGATATGGTAGGAAATACTAACTGTGGTGCCACATCTGGGCAGGTGATCCTAAGCTGTATAAGAAAGCATGCTGGGAAAGCCATGTGGAGCAAACCTGCAAGCAGCATCCTTTCATGGATTCTTCACTAAGGCTTGCCTCCAGGTTCCCGCTTCCAATTCCTGCCCAGACTTCCCTCAGTGATTAAGTGCAACCTCAGAGCTATAATCAGAAATGAACCCTTTCCCCTTTTAGTTGATATTTTGATGTATTATCACAGTCATGAGAACCCCAAACAAGACAAGCACCACTTCCCCGCAGTGTGCGGGAATTCTTTCTGTCTCCTGATGTGTTTTTCAGTTTCTTTCTTGAGAGCCATTGGGATTTCATTGTGCTTCTCACCCATGTCTCATATTATTCTAAGATTGTTTTAAATTTATTCTGAATAGTTTTCTTATCCAGATTCTTTCTTTGTATGTTTATGGTTGATATAAAAAAAGACTTTTGATTTTGCGTCCTGTTACTTCTCTGGGTGTATTTATCGTCTTTGAGAATTTCCTCATGGCATTGATAGGGTCTTTTATGCAACCCATCATATCACCTGTAGGTAAAGATACTTTGACTTCCTCTTTTTTTTGATCTCCATCTCCTTATCTACTTCTGTTGCATTATTTCTTAGCTGAACCTTCAAGCACTATGGAGTAGAAATGAGGAGAGTGGATATATTAAACCTCTTCCTGACTAAGAGGAAATACGACAAGTCTATTTCCTGTGAGTGGGATGTTGACCATGTGCTTGTGTGTTTCCTTTATTATGTTGAGATATTTCTCCCATCCTCATAGATTCTCCAAATGTTTTGTCACAAATAGATACTGTATTTTGTTCAAAACCTTTACTGTATGTAATTAGATGATTTGGTTTTTTGATTCCTCAGTGGAGGCAGAATAGGGGGTTGGAGGGGTTGGTGGGAGCCAGGGGAACAGGAGAGGGAGAGGGAGTTGGGATTGACATGTCAAGCAAGCTTGTTTCTAACTTAAATAAAAATGTCAAAATAAAAACAAACAAAAATAGTAATGAACAAATTAATTTATAAATAAAGACACTTTAAAAATACAATTCTGTAAATCTTGTGGCAAAGTCACAGCAAATCTGGAAATTCCATGCTATAATTATGGTCTGATGCAATCCTATACTATCCTTAACCTTTTGTTTGATGGAAACTAAGATCATTTTGTACATTGAAAAAGTATTTATCCAAAATTCGCATGCAAAAGACATAGCTGGCTGAGTAGAAATCTAAACAACCCGTAATAATTTAACTCTTGACATACAGATTTCCAATATTCTACAAACACAAAATGTTTAGCAAGTCAATAATCTTTGAGGGATGTACACTGTAAGTAGGTACTTAACATGTGAAATTCTGTTGACACCACTCAAATTTTTAAAAATGTAACACGAGTTATTCTAAAGACTGATCATTTCCCCTGCACTCTGTCTCTTGTGGCTTTCAGTGAGATCTTAACAGGTCTCATGATTATTATGTAGCACTTCGGGAAAAAGATACAGCCTAGGAGCCCTGTACTAGAAGCCAATATGGAGAACACCTCCACAGCCACCATGACCTTCCCCTTAGTGCTGTGGTAAACAGGGAGGAAGGTGACCCAGACACTGCAGAACACCAGCATGCTGAATGTCAGATATTTGGCTTCATTGAAGGTGTCAGGTAGCTTCCTGGCCAGAAAAGCTACAGTGAAACTCCCTATGGACAGAGCCCACAAGTATCCCAGGACACAGTAGAAGGCTGTGACTGAGCCCTTATTGCACACAATGATAATTTGACCATGTTCAGAATGTGTATCTATTTCCACAAAGGGAGGGGAGGTTCCAAGCCAGATTCCACAGATGATAATTTGTATAATTGTGCAGATGGGAATGATGAATCTGGGTGTCCCTGATTTAAGCAACCCCCTCATCCTTCTTCCTGGAGCAGTGATCTTGAAGGCCAGCACCACAGTAATGGTTTTGGCCAAGACAGTAGACACAGCTACTGTGAACACAACACCAAATGTGATCTGTTGCAGGATGCAGGTGGCTATGTTGGGCTGACCAATGAATAGCAATGAGCAAAGAAAACAGAAGGTGAGAGAAACAAGAAGGATGTAGCTGAGAGTCCTGTTATTGGCTTTCACCACAGGAGACTTTTGGTGCTTTATAAAAACCCCAAGGACAGATGCTGAGAGTGTCGAGAAGCACAGGGCCATGCCAGCCAGTGTCATCCCCAAGGGGTTTTCATAAGTCAGGAATGTCACAGCTTTTTGGAAGCAATGGGTTCGCTCTGTGTTGGCATACTGATCATCTGGACATGACACACACTGATCAACATCTGGCAAGAAATGTAAGGTGTCATCAATACAACTTCAGTGAGTTTCTCACAGTTGAACCCCTCCCCCACACACATACTTTTGAAAGTAGTGCATTCTGAAAGATAGTCCAATTATTCTTCTGGTAACTGAAGGGAAGGAACAATAGACTATTGCTTTGAAGAATCTTCCCAGCTAATAGTACATATCTTCTTTACTATCAAGTAAACAAATGTCTTTTTAATGTTTAATATGTATTCATGTTTCTTCTCTTCTTGTCTCCAAATTAAGACAAAATAACTATTTTCATTATATATTTGGTATAATGAAAATATAGTAATTTAGGCTTGCAGTTTCACAAGAGCAAGCACTTATTTCCCTTGTGTCTATGACATTGGATTCATGGTCTCCAATAACTAGAATTCTGGGTATCTCTTGGGCACTAATACTATCTCTTCCCACGGCAGAGAAAAATTAAAGCCCTCAAAACATGCTGAGAATTATATAAATTCCACCGATGGGTATGAATACATCATCAATTAACAATCATCCAAGTTTGTGTTTTAAGAACATCATGCCTTGCATTGTTTTTTTAAGCAACAAATCTTAGATCATTTTTGAAAATGGAATGTCAAATGAGAAAGGAAGGGTCCCCATTACTGACCAGTTGACAAATCTATGGGGCATTATGTTAATATTATATTAATTAATAATTTTTGTAGAAAGATCTAAACTGAGAAATTGGTCCTAGTTTATACTAACAAAGTAACGTGGATGAGTCATGGGGAGAAAGATACTAAGCAACTCCATGCTCTCCACCTCAGTTCCTTCATCCAGGTTTCTGAACTGAGTTCCTTCCATGCTTCTCATTCATGATACACTGTAAGCTGCAGGCTAAAACTAGCTCTTTCCCTCTGAAGGTGCTTTTGGTGAAGGTCTCTACAAAAGCAACAGAACACTATCAATTGCATCACATTTGGTTTATTAAAATGTAACATCAAATTTGGGGGACTAAAATAGATATTTATATTGCACTAAATAGGTCCACTGCAAATTATACCATGTTTTTTCACTGAAGTAGTATGTAGTCACGAAAACTAGGTAATGTGCAAATTACCAAGGAAATACAGATGATATACATGATGGTTACTTGGGCGAACATGACCTCCCTATGCATAATTTTTAATTTCCACAACAGAAAATGTTAAATATTTCATTTTGTTACACAGAAACAGTAGATAACTCTTGCTCAGCTTTCCAGTTTTCCCAGTCTCAGGTTTCCACAGTTGCCAATAGTTCTTTGTGTAAGGCTGAGGCTTCACGGTCTGTCTCTCATCCACTTCAGCATATCTCTTGGTGTCATAATGTTTGTACCAGTATGAATTACCACATCAGTAAAAATATGTTATCCATTCCCCTCACTCACACCGGAATTTGCTGTCACTTTTAGTTTTTGCTGTTGTTTGATCTTGGTTATTATGACTTTGTGTGATGAAATTTCAAATTTTAATGTGTATCCTTGTGATGTCTAAAGTAATTTGAACATATTTTAATGCTCCCGAGGTATGTGTGTTTTGACTTTTGAGAACTGTGTGTGTGTCTCCTTGCTACAGTTTTTAATGGGAATGTTTGATTTGGTGATGCTGACATTTGTCTGGTTTTTGTGTATTCTACATACTGACTGGTTTTCTGATATATCAACATAGGCTTTATTTTTACCATTCTGTGGGTTGTTTTTTCATGAAAATGATGGTTTTGTTTGCTGCTCATAAATTAAAACTGACTCTGTTCCTGATTTAATGTGCTCTCCTATTAGCAGTAAGTAAGCATTTCCTTTTGTGCAAATTCCACCATAGTGCTGTTATTTATTATTAAACGAGTGTTATTTTAGCTGCTGTAAGATGGAATCTGAATAAAGCTGTTATCTCCAGTAATCTGACACATAGTGAAACTGAATACTTTTTATTGTTCATCAGTCATTTCTATTCCATCTCTTGATAAATGACTGCATCTTAAATTAAACTACGTCAGTTACATAGAAGAAAGTATTGAAGACACTTCAGGTTATTACCTTTGTTGGTTAGGTTCAACTTGACATAAGCCTGGATCATTTGGTGAAAAGGAATCTCAAATGAGACAAAGTCCCCATTAGATTTTCCTATCGATACACCTTTAATGCATTTTCTTGACTAATGCCTTTGTGGTATGCCCAGCCCCCTGGGATGGTTAGCTCTCTTGGGTAGTGGTCCTTAGTGGTATATCAAGGCAGTCAGAGCATGGTATAAGGAGCAAAGCAGTAAGTGGAGAGCCTTCATTGCTTCTGTATTCATTCATGAGTTCTCAACTTATGATGGACTACATATGTAAGCCATATGCACCCTTTCCTTTGGAAATGATTTTGGTCATAAGTATAAGACTTTCTTAACAGTCCTGTAACCACTTATGAAGCAATCCCAACTGCCAACAAACATAATATCATGAAATTATAAAGCTCGTTAACAGGAAAGAAACAATGAATTGAATGAAGAGACATCCCTGAGAATGTATGGAAACCATTTCTTGCTGTATATCTGACAGAGGTTATTACCTGGAATACACAAGGAGCTCAGGAAATTAAGCAAGAAATCAAACAAGTCAAGCTACTTCAATCAAGAATAGGTTTTGTCAGGATGTATCCCTAGTGCATGAAAGGACTTCAGGAGCCCATTTCCCATAGAGGGATACTCTATTAGCCTAGATACACAGGGGAGTGCCTAGGCCCTGCCCCAAATGACTTGGCAGATTTTGATGATCCCTCATGGATGGGGAGTGGATGGGGGATGAGATGGGGGGTTGCAAGGGACATGGAAGAATGGAAGGGAGAGGGAACTGGGATTGATATATAAAATGAGATTGTGTCTAATTTAAATAAAATTTATAAAAAAGAATAGACTTTGTACTGATGAAACATAATAAGGAGAATAAAAGTCCCCAACTAAGTGAGAGGGTTACGTGATCAGAAGCTCAGACCCACAAGCAGCTGTAACAGCAGCGGCAGCTACTCCATTAGCCCACAATCGCAGGATGTGCTCCGGCCATGGAATCCCAGACCACAGATGTGCCAGTTAATTCTACCTAACCAAATGCAGTCATTGTCTTCTCAAGGTCCTTCGTCTTATGATAACTTTGTATAAAAAACTTACTGTGCTAAGTAATCTCTGTAACTATGGGAACCCTACTGAGACTTACAGCTTCTGGACTCCTTCTCCTCTCTTCTCAAGGCTTCAAGTCTCATGATAACCTTTGGTATATTAAGTAATCCCTTGTAACCTGGGAAACTGAAACTCAGGACTCCTTCCCCCTCCTCCTTTTCCCTTTAGTTGAGGGGGTGGGGGTAAAATAGGGGGAAGAGGGAATCATAGGATCGAAGACAGATCAGGCACCAGAGTGACCTCGAGTGATCTAAAGGTATAACATCAATTGGCAAGCTAAGCAATAGTGGAAGGACCACCTCGAATGCCCATTCCTGATAATGAACTTGATGTCTATAACTATCCGGGAGCCTTCATCCTGGGACTGATGGAAGCAGAGGCAAACACACAACTAAGCACTGAACTGAACCCAAGGAACCCAGTGACAGAGAGAGAGGAGTGATGAGCAAATTGGCAAGGAATGGGCTGGCAAAACCAGCAGAGACAGCTGATCTGAACAGGGGAGTGCTCTTGGACCCCAGACCGACAGTGGGGAGGCCAGAATGGGACTGATCTGGACCCCCCAAATGTGAGTGTCAGTGAGAAGGCCTGGGCAACCTATGGGGCTCTGAGCTGTGGATCAGTGTCTATCCCTGGTATACAATCTGTCTTCATGTGCCTATGGCACAAAGAGAGATGCTCTCTCAGCCTGGACTCTTAGGGGAGTGCCTTGACCCTACCAAGAGTGAAATGATAGACTTTAGACATCCCCTATGTGGAGGGATTTGGAAATAGGGTGGGAGGGAGGGTGGAAGGGGAGTGCGGGAGGAGGGGAGGGAGAGGGAACTGGGATTGACATGTGAAACAAGCTATTTAAAATTAAAATAAAAAATGATTAAAAAAAAAAAAAAAAAAAAAAGCTTTTTTTTATTTAGCTGGTGGGCATCTCATGTCATCTCCCCGCCAAGGGGTGAGATCAGAGCTGGCAGCTTGATAAAGAAACCTTTTGTTTTTGCATCAGAAGTGTCAACTCCTTGGGTTAGTCTCTGGGATTCTGCTAACCTGGCACAAAGGTACCTGTAAGTATCTGTGTGTGCGTGCGTGTGTGTGTGTGTGTGTGTGTGTGTGTGTGTGTTTCAATTTTTTTGTTAAAATATTTCTAGTAGTTCATCATTTTTGATAAAGGTGATGTGAGAACAATTCCAGGCTAAAAATTCGCATGAGAAAGCCTTTCCACAACAAAGCATCTTCTCCTAGCCCAAAATAATTCAGTTTTTCATCATTTTGTTCAGGAGCTTCATAAACCTACACAAAGTGTTTATTTAGAACAGTCTTACATCCCATTTTCCCTCATCCAATACTTTTTCTATCATCCCCAATACTTTTCTTTCCCTACCTCATCTGCAGTTATTTGAAGTCCATTGCATCTACTTACCGATGACTACTACACCTTGATTCACTGGAGCTTTGGTAGCCTCTCTGATGCCTCATGCTCAAAGAAAACTGATTCCCACTTCACCATCAAATGTTCCTCATGTAGGAATGGGTATTTATGATCTCAGACACCAACAATTCTGTGAGCTTGCCTGTTTTGACCTAGTGTGGGTCTTGTGCATGCAGTCACAGCTCATTTGAGTCCATGCTTGCAACAGTGACAAAAATAGTGCACATCTATAAAATATTTTTGCCGCAGCCATCCCCTACCCATGGCTCCTATGATCTATTCCCCATACTTCAGTGATGATCTCTGAACTGTCAGGTTAGGGGCTGTTTGACAGGTGTCTCCACTTACTTTTATTCTCTTCTTTCTGAACTGTGATAAATGTCTCTACTAACTGTCATCTCTGATGAGGGTTGAGAACTACACTAACCAATGAGTATAAAGATAACAACTTAGGAAGAACATTATTATTAAGAAAACTTTTTTGTGAGTTAATTTTGTGTACTGTTGCCTAGCTGAAGGTGTTTCTCAGCTGTAGTTGTTTCTTGAGGGATCTTTATTATCTTTTAGAAATAGAATCCTGTCTTCTGGTATAAAGACACTTTGACTTCTTCCTTTCCAATCTGCAATCCCCTTTTCTACTGGGTGCCTTACTTCTCTGGGTAAGACTTAAAGCACTAAAGAATAAAATTCTACAGAGCATATAACATTCTCTTGTTCCTGAGATAGTGGAAATACTTTGAATCTCCTTTTTTAATGTGATGCTGCCTGTGGGCTTATACGTTCATTTATTATGATTCCATATGTCCCTTCTATCCCTAAATTCTCCAAAAAAATTTATCATGATGACATTTTAGATTTTTTTCCAAGAAATGTCCTTACAAAATTACATGATAACGTATTTTCTGTACTTGAATCTATTTATGTGGTGAATTTCAAATAATAAGTTGTGTGTGTTGAAACATCATTGCATCATATTAACTTGTTGAATGTGTTATTTGTTGTTCAATTTATTTTTAAGCATTTCATGGTGGAGTATTGCATTGATGTTATTCACGTTGATTGTTCTATTATTTTTTGGGTGGTCAGATATCAGGTTTTCTTCAAGTAATTCATTATGTACTGAATATTGCATGATATGGTAATTTCCTATACTCATCCATTCCAAACAGTAATAACTTCCATATGCTCTATTCTTTGATAATCTTATGTTCAGGTAAAAACCCACATAAACATGCATGGTTTATACTTAATATGCATATAGAATTACTTCATTCTGCAAGAATTTTTACATACATTTATTTAGTTTTATGGCTAAACCATAAATGTATATCTTCACAGATTTTCTTTGCTGCTCATCTGTGAATTACAGAGAGCAGAAAATATAATTTTCTCATTGGAATCAATCTATGCCGCTTATTTTTATATGAGACATATGCATTACTAACTCTGTATGTTTGGCTTGAGTATTTTACCTGAATGTTGATCTGTGCACTACATATGTTTATTATATTTCTCACAATAACTCCTGGGACTGGAGTTACAGACAGTTGGAAGCCATCATTTTAATGCTGGGAATCAAATCCAGGTACTCTAAAAGGACAGTCAATGTTCTTCACTTCTAAACCTCTGCTACAGTCCCTGAATTTCTTAAGACAAATCTACTGTCTATTAATATTTGATCTATTTCAAGAACAGTTTAGGGCACCGGAAGAGTTATCCTGTGCAACAGTAATGGTAATAATGTTAGGTAAATACAGTTGCAAAAAGATTGGACATGGATACATGTCTGTATATTCCACATGTAAATTTATCTGAGAGAAGCAAATATTAAACTCTTTTTGGGTTATCAAAAAGTAACTAAATAACATATGGCTGTTAATCCTGTAAAGCTACCAAATGTGGGCTATTGCAAGGGGGTATGTTATTGATGATTATTACTATTCAATATGAACCAAAAAATTTTAGAATATAGTCTATGTGATTATCTTTTGCATTATTACTACTTCAAACGGTGGGTTAAAAACACACACTTGCCTGTACCATTGGAAATTTCATTTTCTGGGCAGAGGCTGCAGTCAAAACAACAGACAGCCTTGCCTTCCTGAAGAGATTTTCTGAATCCAGGGCCACAACTTTCACTGCAAACTGAGATGGGAGTCTGAGGAAATCAGAGATATGAGGACACATAAGGATTGATCTGGCAACTGAATTTTATGCGAGTACTTGATTGTTGACAAATTTAATATTATAAACCTACATTCAGTTAATTAATGAATGTGTACATACACCCTGTAACAGGATATATGGATAATGCACACATGAATATTCATGTAAAGAGATATATATATAATATTTAGAAACAGGTATATACATAGGGAAGAATGTGATAATATTTGGCAATAATAAACTTAGGAGGAAAACATTTGAATGTAAGGAGTGAGTTTGCAAACAGGCCAGGGCAGTCATCTTTATTTTGTATGGAGGTATGAGACTCAGCAAAGCACTTTTTCCATTTTTTTCATACTTTTCTATCTTCTGTAAAGCATGTTGTGAGATTCGAACCCACCTCTGTAACTCCTGTGCTCCACTCTATCCTGTCCTCATAGAGTGACAACTGTTGACCAGGTGGAAAATATGGGGAAAATGTTCCTATTTTTACTTTATATCCAAGACCTTGTGGAAAATTCCAGAAGTTCAGAATGTCATAAGTTATATGAATGTTTTTTGAAGGATTCAAAGTTACTGAGTCTCCAGTGGGATTCTTGAATTGAATGTTCTTCAGGACGTGGTTCAGCTAATGTACATGCATGATTTAGAATAGCAATATTCATTGTTAAGATAAAAACCAGAATTATGTCATATTCACATTTAATTAATCAGTCCTTCGAAATGAAGCATTATTACAAGTATATAGCAGAAAATAATGAATGACTACAGTGACTTAACAAAACTATCATATAACTATGTGGACAGAGTATTCAAATACATCTCAGGTTTGCTATGAAATATCGTGGTTTTCAACACTAATCATTCATGTTTGTGATGGTTAGTTCTAACTATGAACCAGACACAATCTAGAAACACATGAGAGTTAGGACTCAGTGAAGAATTTTCTAGATTATTTGGCCTCTGAGTATATCTATGAGGGATTGTGTAACTTGGGTTACAAAGACTCACCTTGAGTTTGAGCAGGAACATTTCATGAGTTGAGACTGAACTGAATATATTGGAGTGAATGACAGGAATAATAGCATTCATGCTATAACTAATTGCTTTCTGTTCTTGACTGTTGATGTTGATGTGCTAGACTGCTTTACATCTTTGCTACCTTGACTTCTTTGGGATCATGGACTATAAATTGGAATTATGAGTCAATTTAGCCCTTTCTCATTTAAGTGGCTTTTGTCCACATTTATCATAGCCAAAGGAAACACACCTAAGACAGTCTCTCTACCAGATGTAGTTTGAATAGATGTTTTAAGATTTTTTGTTAGTTGGCATTGTACACTACTTAGGAACCTGATATGTTCCTAAATTTCTTATTTATATTAAAGAATATAATGGGAAGAAATTATGGATTTTCTATTGAGAATCTTAGAAGCCCAAAATACTGTTGGCCCTTCATCTTTAACATAAACTTTGGCTCTCAGCACATCAATATTTATTTATATGATACTGGAATTTTGGTTATGATTTACATCCAAATCATTTTCCTGTTAAGCAGTTAAAACAGCCTATAAGATTTCTTTATGGAAAAAATCCCAAGGAACTTATTTGGAGCACCTCTGGGGCCATTTAACTAAGTTCCTGTGGTGACAGTCAACATCATCCAAATGAAAAATCATTACCTTCCACGGAGGAAATTTCATTCTTTCTCCATTTTTCACTGTTTGCATGTCTACTTGCTGCATAAGCATCTTGTGGAGGGTGTGTGCTACAGCATACACAGCATTGTATACATGATAGCTGCCATCACTCATGGCAGTGTCAAAGTGGTACCAAGGTAACCATTCCAAGGAACCTCTAGATGAACAATTTTCTAATGCTTTACAGGAAGTGTCAGAGAGTGAACAATCAAAATAATTCTCCCACAGTTTTGCAAGGAAAATGTCTTCTGGGTATTTGGAAGGGGTAACTGTCTTTACAAAGTCCTTAAAAGCAGAAATCTCACCATGGTGTTGTGAAAAGATGAGAGTCCCATGGAATGAGTCAAGAATGAAATGTCTCATAGCAGTAGTCACTTCCCATTGTGAAGTGGTGATCCAGATTCTCCACGGAGATACATATTCCCATCTTCTAAAAAGCACACCTAAAGAAGAGTCAGTGTCACCATAGATGATGATGACTTTTACTGAGTTCATCACAACTGGGCTTTGGTATATGGTAGCAAATGTCATAGAGAACATATGGCTGATTGGGATCATTTCTAAGAAGGCAACACAGACTCCGTTTCTTTCCATCTCTGCTATCAGTTCTGAGACAAAGTGAACACCCTTTTCATCATCTGAGATCACCAGTCCCACCCAGTTCCATCTGAAGTAGACCATCAATGAGACCATGCCTAAGGCCAGAGAAGAGTCCTTGGTGGTCATCTGATACAAAGAAGGAAACTTATCGGGGTCATTCATACTTGACTCGAAAGGTCCGAAGGAAAGCTGAAGAAAAGTGAACAAGGAGTGGCATGAAGAAGTCTCCAGAAATCATGGACTCAATGAGTATGAAACAGTAACTTAAAGTTGTAAAAAGTCAAATTTACATTTAAATCAATTCTACCATTTTGGAGACCATTCTATAACATGTGTGTGTCTGAAGCACTTCCAGTATATTTCAAACAAAAGTAATGTTGCTATATCAACAAATCTCAACTATATAGCCTTAAAGAATTTCTTGTATTTCAAAAGATCCATTAGTTAGTTAGGATTGTGTGTGTGTGTGTGTGTGTGTGTGTGTGTGTGTGTGTATGAGAGAGAGAGAGAGAGAGATGTATGTGTCAGTACATATGCATGTGAAGGTTAGATGAGGGCTTTGAATGCCCTACACTTTCCCCACATAGTGTTCTTAAGGTATGGTCTCTCTTTAACCCTGAGATTCATGTTTTTATTGCTTACTAGAAGACAGGAATCCACGGGGATAATCCTGTCTCTGCTGTGCTATCATGAGGAAGTTGGTGGTACTGGCGTCCAAATTCCTGTCCTCAAGATTGCACAGACAGCACTGGGTGGTGGTGGCACATGTCTTTAATCCCAGCATTTGGGAAGCAGAGGCAGGTGGATCTCTGAGTTTGAGATCAGCCTGATCTACAAGAGCAAGTTCCAGGAGAGCTCCCAAAGCCACAGAGAATCTCCGTTTTGAAAAACCGGGGAAAAAAAGAAAGAAAAGAAAAAAAAGCACAGATTACTGGTATATCATTTATACTAAGACTTTGTATGTTGAATCACACACAAATAAAGTCCTCTTTGTCTCTGTCTCTGCCTATCTCTTAGTTATTTAACAAAGGTTTTCTTTTTTCTAGCCTTAGCTGCCCTGGAACAAGCTATGTAAACAAGGCTGGCCTGGAACTCACAAAGATTCACCTGCCTCTGTCTCCTGAGTCTGGCATTAAAGGTATGTACCACCATCACCCAGATGAAGTGTTTCCTATTTATGCTGTTCCCTTGGTACCCATTGTTGGAATCAAAGGATAATGCCGCCATTTCTTCCCATTTATGTAATCTTACCTGTGGATATTTATAAAGTCCCAGAAATGTGCCAATTAAGGAAGAAATTTCCCATGTTGTTCCTGTGATTACAGCGATAGAGTTTTCCTCTCTTCTGCAGGTGTAGTTTGGGATGAATGAGGTTTGACCAGTGAGCCAAATGAGAAAAGTCAGCACTGTTTCTTCTTGACTTAGCCCAGCAGTGTAGAAACCATAACCCAGAGATGTGTTAGGTAAAAGTAGGGGGTTTCTGTTGATCTCTTCTACAGCAAAAATCAAGGCCATTGCAAATTGGTAGTTGGTGGGATGGATACTGTGCAGAGGACAGGACAGAACAATCTTCTATCACCATTGTCTTCAAAATCAATACAGTAACTGCCATGCACTAAAGGAGCTGTTAAATATTATTTATGTGATTTTTTAAATGGTAGACCAGACCACTTCCTTCATCTATTTTATGTGTGAGGATAGAACAAGAAGACTATCTGCCATTCATGAAGCAGGAAATCACTACATGATCATCACGTACCTTTATCTTGGAATGTCTATCCTTCATAAAAGTGAAAAATAGATCTTGTATCCTTCTGTGGAGTGTGAGTTTGTATGTTGTGGGGAGACTTTCTAAGAACGCCTGATGAAAGACAAAGAGAAATGTGGTTCTACATTCTTGTCTTAGGTTGTAATTAGCGCCTATCTAGGGATGTAGCCAGTTAAAGAGAGGAGTCAAACTTGATGTTTCTTACATGACTGTTCTCCCTGGGCTTCTGATATCAGTCCCAAGGCACTAGGATCTGAAATACTCTGTGTTCTACTTGACAATATTGTCTGACTTAGCTCTCAGCTGACCTTTGCCATTTTCCCACTGCAGCGAGTATATAGGACGCTGCACTGCTTCACAAACTTGTTTGGCTTAAGGCATCACTTTATGCGAGACTTTCTGATCCTAGTTGTTTTTGTCATCTGTATTCCTCATCTTCATTCTTCCCACTTGACACCTTGCCATTTGCCACCATTATTCCTGCAGGTTCAGGACAAGATATGGTGTGCGTATGGGTGTTTGTATAGGTAGGTGGTGTGTGTATATATATATGTGTGTGTGCATTGTGCATGTATATATGTGTTGTGTACATATGTATTTGTAGCATATATGTGTGTATAAAGTATATGTGAATGTATTTGGTGTGTGTGTGTGTGTGTGATGTATCCAGATGTGTACACAAGCAAAGGATAGAGGAGGATACCAGATGACTTCTTCCTTTAAGACAAGATCACTCAGTGAACTTGAAGCTTGTACTTCCAGCTACGCTGTTCAGGAGGCTCCTCTGTCCCTGTCTTCAAATTCTGGGATTAGAGGCACGTGCAGCCATACCTTGCTTCCATATGATCAGTAGAGAATCTAACTGAGACCCTGATGCTTGCACCAGGGTGCTGTTTCCCACTGATCAGTCTCCCCAGCTTGAAGACAAGATGCTTGTTAATGATGAACTAAAATTCAAGTCACTCTACTTGTGATATCTGGGTCACACATCCTTCATTTATATGTAAGGAAAAACAAGGCAACTTTTCTGCCTATTTTGTTTCTTGTCCAACCTCACTTTGTCTTTAGGTTACATGATAACATATCATTTAAGATAAAAATTACTAGGCATCTGTTTTATAATAAGTGGATCATTTGATTCATAATTGTATATTTTATTTGCATGTGAATTTCCTGTATGCTTTCACCCACATTTGCTTCATTGGTATCTACCATATATTTTCTGATTCTTCATGTAATTTATCATCTCTAAACGTAAGGACATCCTCAGATATGACATTTCTATATGATTCTACAGTCTATAGGTAGCCAATTGATTTATTTGCATTAATTGTGATTTTGAATATCCTTGTTTAATTTTCATTAATCATATTTTATGTTTAGATTTTACATGTATTTTCTATTATGTATTTAACTTAATTGTTATTATATGTGTACATAGGTGGTGTAATGTAAGGCCATGTATATACTGGATATGCATTTGTGTTTGTTGATAAGGATGCTAGAGAAGGTCTGGGGTCCTGCTTTCTCACTCTCAATATGATTTTTCTGGATCTCTCACTGAACTTGGAACTCCTCTGGCAGCCAGGATGTGTCAGCTATCCTGTCTCCATGCCTCAAAGTTCTGGAGTTGCAAGCACATACCCAGTCACAACAAACTTTTACATAGGTTCTGGCTATCTGAATTCAGGTACACATTCTTCTGGAGAAACGTTGTTAGGCTTGGAGACAGCTCCCCAAGTCCCTTCTATGGTAGCTTCAACTCACATTCTGCCATGAGCATGGGACCACACTGCCAGTCTGGATAACTGGCACCATCTGCTGCACAGTGTGTGGTTGTTTTAATCTTTTATCTCTCCTTGAATGAATTACTTAGCTTTCTTGTCCCATACATCATTTTGTCTTTCTTCTTTTTCCATTTTTATATAGCTTAATTTTAGTGAGTTCCTAATCTTAACTTCCTAGATCTCTGTTTTCTTTTCTGTTAAACTTTAGTTATTGACATTCACATTTTTGATATTATACATCACAGAAATATTTTTATCTGTTATTTTAATCTTGAATTACAATATAATTACATTATTTACCCCCTTCCTTTTAAAACAAACTCTACTGAACTCCTCAATGCTCTTTCAATTCATGACCTCATGTTTATCAATCATTTTTAAATATGTATGTTTGTATACATATATTCTTGAATACATAAATGCAAGCTGCTCAGTCTGTATCATGTTTCTTACATGCATGTTTTCAAGACAACAATAGACATGCTAATATGGACAGATGCCTAAGGTGCCTCAACATTCTATAAAAACACTCCCCCAAAGCAGAAGTAAATGAGAAATTCTGAGAGTTGGGGAGTAGTATTCCCCAGGAGGGAGGATATAAGTTGCTTATCCAATACCAAATGGTCATTCCTGAAAATGTTAATATATTAAAGCCTGTAATTGTTTTAGAAAGTTTGTTACTTGGTAGCCCTGGTAGCGATTTCACTTTTTTAGAACTATCCACTAAATGGACAATCTGTGTTCTGAATATGATTCGTTGTATAGCTGAGTGCTTAGGTGTTTAATTCTATCATTTTATATTCAGTGTGTTTTGCTTCACTACATTAAACAATGATGTGTTCCCTATTTGTCTGATTATCTTTGACTGAGAGTTTCTCCTTGCAATAGTTACTCATTGGGAAACATTAAGGTTAGGTTTATTATCTTTTACTTCATAGGAGAACTTCATGGGATTCTGAATCCCATTCTTTGGTAGTGATGTGATTCTGAGTATTTTCTGGCTTCTCTTGCAGAGGATCTAAGTTTAATTTTTAGCTTGATTATAATCTACTTTCCAAGAACCTATCATCTTCTTTTGGTCACTGTGTATAAATTAAACCAAGATAAACTGGTTGTGAAGAAAAACAAAAATTGGGGAGTACATGAAGTTTAATCTGCATATCAGCAAATGATATGGTAAGACAATCCTCACAAAGTCAAATGTGACATTTTCTCAAACAAGCAAATCACATGTGTGTAGGAACTGTGGTGGTTTTAATATATTCGTCAGTGTTTGATTACTTGGCCTGGAGTTTGGCACTATTAGAAGGTGTGGCTTTGGTGGAGTAGGGTAGCTTTGTTGGGGGAAGTTGTATCCTGGGTATAGGCTTTGAGGTCTCATATATGCTGAAAATGCACCCCAGCGTAAGGACAGTTCACTTCCTGTTACCTGAGGATCAAGCTATAGCCTTCTCAACTACATCTTCAGCACCAAGTCTACAAGCATGCTCACTTGCTTCCCACTAGGATGATAATGATTAACCTCTGAAAGTGTAAGCTATCCCTAATTAAATGTTTTCCTTTATAAGAATTGCTATGGACATGGTGTCTTTTCACAGCAGTGAAGACCCTAAGGAAGAGAGAAAGACTGTGGAAGAGAGGATGGAAAGCCAAGCATAATTGGAAATCAAACTGAAGAAGTTAAACAGAATTAATATAGACCCACATGTAAAATAAAGATGTTAGCAATGTATTTAAAAGGACCAGACTCCACTTTGGTAAGTGTGATATGCACCGTTTCAAGTTTTTGGACAAGTTAACAGAGGAACCATGTAGAACAGTGACCTTATAAATTTATTAAACATCAAGCTTAAACCCACATCAGCAACTTCTCACTATTGTTTTATATATATTATATATATATATAATTTGTTTGAAAAGTAAAAAATATTCTTTCATATTACAGGACTGAAGACTCAGTCCATGACTGTTAAGCCCAGTATCATGGAGATTTGAAAGGTGACAAAGGTTTTTACCCCATGTGTGGAATGAGAAAAAGCAAAGGGAAAAAGGCAAGTGTCTCCCAAACATCCCTTTCAGGGTGTGCCCTGGATGTCCTAAAATTGTCAAGTAGACTTTATCGATTCTCACCAACTTCTAGTGCCAAAACCAAGCATCCAGCACCGTGTAGTGAGGCCTTGGGAGAAGAGGACACACACAGAACACAACAAAGACTTAAATTCATGGAATCATTCATGAGTCAAGAAGTGTGTCGTCTTCTGTTGAACAACTTGTACATGACAGAGAGCTCATGGGTTACCATAGAATAGAGCTCTGATGTCAGTCACAGAGATTCTGACCAATTAGCTCATCAGGTGTGCAAATGTGTTTGAAGTCACAAGCAAAAAACAATCTCCTTAAGTGTTAAATGACTTACATAAGTCAAGCTATGTGTAAACTCATAAGAATCCACATAAATTATATTAAATAGATTAAAATGGAAATCATATCAGTGGTTAAATGTGGTTTCAAGTATACAAGAAGAGAAACTGTAAGAGGGAAGTGGTAATGGGACGATCATCCTACGAGAGAGGAATGTGGCCCACACTGAAGTCTTGAATATGAATGGCAGGGAGAATACAATCCTGGAACTATACATTCCAAGTTAAAATTTAAATGATTACAAAGTAATCCTGAACCAAGTCAACCTAGTAACTATAGATAGGAGCTTGGGAGGTGAATGAAAGGACACATACTGGCCATGCACATGTGTGAGGACCTGAGTGCGTGTCCTCCCCAGGACATGGTAGCAAATGTTTCCTATCCCAGTGGTCTTATAGAATGACTCATGAGAAGTAGAGGAGAATTCCAAAACGCCATGAGCCTGTCGTGTTGGTGTGTGCAGCAGTGAACAACAAAGATGCTCTCTCTCAAACAAGGTGGGAAGTGAAGAACAGAACCCAAGACTGTCCTCTGAACTGCCAACAAACACATTCATATTCAAAACCACACACTCACACTCAAATGCACACGTACTCACACATGCAAACACACACACACATACACACACACACACACAAACTCACATGCAATCTCAAACACATCCTGCCCCATGTACTCTTACAATACACATTCCCATGCACATTACCACAAATCATATTAACAAGCACAAAAATATTTGTTGCACACACACATGAATACACACACACTCTTAACTGCATTTACAAACATGCTCACATCTGTACATACGGTTCCACAAACGTACATGCACACAGGTTTTCAAAATAATAGTGGCAATTAAAGGAGAGAAAAACATGAAGTACTTTTGAAAGATGAAAGATAATTTCAGGGTTTTTTTGGACAGAGGTTAAAACACACATTATTCAAAGGGAAATAAATAAGAAATGTATTTTAGGAAATCAGTGATTGATGTTACTATGTTTTTAAAGGACAGATTCAATGTTGTTCCACACGCAAACTTAATTTTTTACTTTGATTTCAGGGAGAAAATTTTACAGTAAAAATACAAGTACCCAAAGTGGAAAATGAATTGGCTATATTACAGTGTATATTGCAGTGTAGTTTTCACACAGGTCTTAAAAGATGAAAGGTCAAATTTCAAGCAGAACTGAGTGGGCCTGGGTATATCTTATTTCTGAAGAGAGAGAATATTTATTCAGACCATTCAGAGTCATGAGGGGAAGAGAAAAATGACTCCGGAAGATGAAAAGTGCGATTTAAACAGGGCTGAGAGAGAAATGACTCTGGAGATGAAAGAGAGGGGAGTGGGATGACAAAGGGATGGTTATGAATCTGAAAGATGAAGGTGTGGGTGTTGTGGAAGATGAGTGTGTCATGGGGGTGAATGTGATCACAGAACATTGGAGCAAAAATCATATTGTCAAAATTAAAGTTCATCGATAAATGAAAAGAAATATAAGGAAAAATATGTAGTATTTATCAAGCTCACAAAAGGTTGTGACCAATATTTTAAAAATTAGGTGGGAGATAGCTTAATAGGCAAATTTCTTGCCGATGAAACCAATTCAAATGTTGTAGATAGGAACTCAAGGCACGGGGCCCTGCATGGTTAGTAATGGTGTCCCAAAGGTATGTCATGAGATTAGACAGAGTATGATTGATGTAATTTGCAAGTGTAGACTTTGCAAAGGGTTTATTACTAAAGGTGGAGGATTCCTGCAGTTTGACATCATCACGGAACACATCAGTCACCACTCCAGAAAATATACACTGTGCTTGGGTCATGCACAAAATTAGAGAACATGCTGACAAATTTGCGCTGAGTTTTCTTGCATCTAATTTTCAGTACTCGGAAGCTATTAGGCTTGATGTTTGCCTTACATATGGGAAACATACAATATTACTAAATTTAACGTGTATCACTAATGATTGCTGTATTTAGATACCAGACAGATCCAGGTCATAAACTTCCAAAAATCTCTCTAATAATTCTAATGGGTTGCATCTCTCTAAGTACTCACAAAGAGCAGGATCTGTGGGAGTCATAGCCACAGGGGGGCCACAGTGACAACAGCACACATGACTGGCAGAGTTACTGAAAGTGAAAGGAGACAAACAGGACAAAATGATGGAGAATGCAAAGACAGCATCCAACAGTTAGATGTAGGGAGAAATGAGATTGCTTTTAAGCAGGAACAGTTAGCTGCTTTTCCTTCCTGCCATCTGTCTTCCTAAGTGTGCCACAGGCAACACCTGTCACATCAGCTTCTGACAGGAGGGGCAAGCTCTTGTATCATTGGCATCTTCTCTGCACACAAGAGCAGAAGACAACTGTTCAAATTCTGTACAAGTCTGTCTCTGCCTTTAGTTAACGAGTTCTTTGATTGTAGTGACGTTCCTGCACCAGCGTTGGTCATTAACTGGAGGGAATGTAAACATCACAGCTGCCTGATTTTAGTCCTGGCCTGGCTTCTGACACCAGGGTGCAGGAGCACATCTGGAAGCAAATAGTGATCTTCAAAACGTTTTAACTACCTAACTACCCCAGGAAAAAGGAACACACAGTAGCAAACTTTTGGTACAGACATTAAGAAATTCGCATAAAAACCTGCAGTGAACCTTGTTTTGTAGAAGTGCCATTGTGTGGTCAACTTTCAGTACTAAAATGCACGCCTTCCTTAATTTAAGGTTCCCAGTTACATCACTTGGCCTCGGCACAAGAGCTGTCAGCAAAATAGATGTGTTTGAACCAGCTGGAGAAGGATTGTGCACTCAGCTTTCAGGTATAAAAATAGAAGACAATAGGTTAACATGAAAAACTCTTACCACTGTGGAATGGAAGCAATGTTGAGAAGACAAGCATTAAATGGATTAAGGGTGTTTCCTGGAGATTGGAGCCAGGAAGAGAAGGCAAGAGACACTTACCGTGGATAAATGTCTGTGCTTTCTGGCCCTTCAGAGTGTGGGGCGGTTTGATAGGTATAAAGGGGTAAGAATGCGGTGATCACCATGTCTCCATCCTGGTATACATTGTCTTTCAAAGAGGCAGGACATCCTGAGTTAATCAATTTGCACAGGCACATAGGACGCTTCAGGGTCAAGAATAAAGGTATCAAAGTGAGCATTGTCAGTGTTTTCCTGACCACACATGGAATCTGCAACAATGCCATGTGCATACCTGCAACAGGTGAACCTGTGTGTCCCTCTCTGTGAGTTTATAAGTTTTATAGACAGAAGCGGCCACTCAACCACCTATTTCTTCCAGATCAGCTTTCCACAATGCCCTAGAGAAATCTTCAAACTTTTTACCTTCAGGCTTCACATCTGAGGTCTTCTGTCCCAGTGACAAACACATGTTGGAAAAATATGTCTGAGGATCATCTTCTCAAGTCCCTGGTAACATTATGCCATCAAAGTCTAAGAATATCAAAGCCACAGGGACCAACCCAAATGGGGAAGCCTTGCTGTGAAACTTGCATCCATAACCGTTGTTTCAAAGGTCATCTGATATGATGTAAGCAGTTTGTCCCTGATGATTCCAAGTTAAATGTGTGAAGAAAGAAGGAACCCTGGAAGGCATCCTCTACATAGATAGAGAACCTTACGTGACACTTTCCAAGATACTGAGGGTCAGCTTATATACACAGAATCATCTAGGGCCTTGCAGCATGCTCCATGATGTCCAGTATCTGCATGTACCTCATGGGTGCAGATTCCCATTGTACTATGAAAAAAAAGAACATGTAATAGTGTCAAGACTCTTGTGATGGTAATTAACCTCCTTTCAATTGAATTTGTCTCAGCCTACAGTAAGGAGGGTATTCTCCAACTGTGTTCCACATCAAATGCTTGTGGTGAGCAAGGTTATAGATCCAGTAGTGGATTCCATTATTGAGTTTTGAATAGATATGAGGCTGCATGCTCTTATGTCAACTTGAAACAAGCTAAAGTCTTTTGACTGCATACAAGCCCATTCATGTGAATGCCTCTATATGATTGGGTTGTAGCTAGACACGCAAGGCATTTTCTTAGTTGGCAATTGATTGAGGAAGGCCCAGTAATGGTGGTGCCATCACTGGACTGTTGGTCTTGCAATGCACAAGAAATCAGTATGATGACATGGGGAGAAGGCCAGTAAGAAAAACCCCTCCAAGGCCTCTGCAGCCCTGGCCTCTATGGTACTGCCATGGTTGGGTTTCTGTCCTGACTTTCTTCAATGATGAACAGTGATATGGAAGTGTAAGCCAAATAAAACCTTTTCTCCATAACTCGATTTTTGTTCACGGTGTTTCATCACAGCAATTGAAACCCTAAGTCAAACTGGCATCAGTATAGTGGGGTATTGAAAGACATGACAAGGTTGTTTTGGGGAGGATTGTCCAAGACCTTTGGAACTATGTGACAGAAAAGTAATTGAGTGTTGAGATCTCAATGGGATCTTCTATAGAATTATGGAAGATAAGAAATGTTGAGAGCAGTGTAAACAATGTAGACCTGACCTGTGAAGTTGCAGAGGGAAGAAAATGCTTCTGTGTAAAAAATCTATAGAGTTGTTTATCTGGAGCTGAAAAAACAGCTATGATTAGCAAGACCCAAAACTTCTGATATGAAAGCTGTGCTTTGTTGGAATATTGATGCTTGCCAGTTGTAACTTAGAAATTAGTAGTGATTAAGAATAGGCCTGCCTTGCTTGAGTATGTCAATTTGAAATAGTTGAGATTTTTATTCTTAGCTTCAACCATAGGCTTTCTCACTAATTGGGACTTTTTTTGGTTTTTCTAGACAGGGTTTCTCTGTGGCTTTGGAGGCTATCCTGGAACTCGCTTGGTAGTCCAGGCTGGTCTCGAACTTACAGAGATCCGCCTGCCTCTGCCTCCTGAGTGCTGGGATTAAAGGCGTGTGCCACCAATGCCCGGCCACTAATTGGGACTTTTTACTATCTCTCTTTTTTATTTAAATTAGAAACAAGTTTGCTTCATATGTCAATCCCAGCTCCTTCTTCCTCCATGCCTACCATGCCCCTCACCAACTCCCCACAACCCTCTAACCAATCCCCACTACACGGCCCAGGGAGAGTGAGGCCCTCCATGGAGATTTACAAAAGTCTGTCATATCATCCCGGGCAGTGCCTAACAGCAACTCCCCATACGGCCAGGCTCAGAGAATGTCCCTCCATGTAGAATAGGCTCCCAAAGTCAATTCATACACCGAGGATAAATGCTGATCTACTAGCCAAGACCCCACAGATTGTTGAGGCCTCCTTGCTGACACTTAAATCAGAAACAGGAACCAGGCACTAGGCAGAAAGACTGAACATTTCATGTATACAAGTTTTTAATTGGTTTATTTGGTGTTTTGAACTCTAGCTTCTTGAGTTATTTATAAATTTTGGAGGGCAGCCTTCTGTCATATGTAGGGTTAGTGACTATCTTTTCCCATTCTGTTGGCTGACTTTTTGTCTTGTTGACTGTTTCAATTGCCTTACAGAAACTTCTCAGTTTCAGGCTGAGGTCCCATTTATTAAGTGTCGATCGCAGTGTCTGTGCTACTTGTGTTATGTTCAGGAAGCAGTCTCCTGTACCAATTCATTCAAGGGCGCCTCCCACTTTCTCTTTTAAGAGGATCAATGTGGCTGGATTTATGTTGAGGTCTTTGATCCATTTGCACTTAAGTTTTGTGCATAGCGATTGACATGGATCTATCTGCAGACTTCTACATGCCAGTATCCAGTTATGCGAGCACCATTTGTTGAAGATGCTATCTTTTTTCCATTGCATAATTTTACCTTCTTTGTCAAAAATAAGGTATTTGAGTTTATAACAGGATTTTCAATTTAATTCCATTGGTCTACCTGTTTATTTTTGTGCCAGTACCAAGCAGTTTTCAGGACTATAGCTCTATACTAGAGCTTGAAGTCAGAGGATGGTGATGCCTCCAGAAGTTCCTTTATGGTACAGGCTATCCTGGGTCTTTTTTTTCCATTTAAAGTTGATTATTGTTCTTTTAAGGTTAGTGATGAACTGTGCCAGTATTTTGATGGAAATTGCATTGAATATGTAGATTGCTTTTGGCAAGATTGCTATTTTTTACTATATTGATCCTACCAACCCAAGATCATGGGAGATCTTTCCATTTTCTGATATCTTCCTCAATTTCTTTCTTTAAAGTTTCAAAGTTCTTCCTATACAGGTCTTTCACTTGTTTGGCTAACATTATCTCCAGATATTTTATGTTGTTTGGGGCTATTGTAAAGGGTGATATTTCTCTGATTTCTTTTTCAGCCCATTTATCATCTGTATATAATATGGCTACTGATTTTTTTTAGTTAATCTTGTATCCTGCCTCTTTGCTGATGGAGTTTATTAGCTTTAGGAGTTCCCATGTGAGTTTTTTGGGTCACTTCTGTAAACTATCATATCATCTACAAATAGTGAAAGTTTGACTTCTTCCTTTCCAATTTGTATCCTTTGATCTCCTTTTGTTGTCTTCTTGCTCTAGCTAGAACTTCAAATATAATATTGAAGAGATACTGAGAAAGTGGACAGCCTTATCTTGTTCCTGATTTTATAGGAATCGCCTTGTGTTTCTCTCCATTTAGTTTGATGTTAGCTGTTGGTTTACTGTATATTGCTTTTATTATGTTCAGGTATGTTCCTATTATCCTTGATCTCTCCAGGACCTTTAACATGAAGTGGTGTTGGATTTTGTCGAAGGCTTTTTCAGCATCTAGTGAGATGATCATTTGATGTTTCTTTTGCAGTTATTTTATATGGTGGATTACATTGATAGATTTTCTAATGTTGAACCATCCCTGCATCCCTGGGATGAAACGTACTTGATCATGGTGGATGATTTTTCTGATGTGTTCTTGGAATGGTTTTGCTAGTATTTTTTGAGTATATTTGCAACAATGTTCATGAGGTAGATTGCTCTGTAGTTCTCTTTCTTAGTTGTGTCTTTGTGTGGCTTGGCTACCAAGGTAATTGTATTCTTGTAAAAAGAGTTTGACATTGCACCTTCTGTTTCTATTGTGTGGAACACTTTGAAGAGTATTGGTATTAGCAGTTCTTTGAATTTCTGGTAGAATTCTATGCTAAAGCATTCTGAACCTGGGCTTTTTTTTGGTTGGAAGACTTCTATTTCCTTGGGGGTTATAGGTCTGCTTAAATTGCTTACCTGTTCTTGATTTAATTTTGGTAAGTGATATCTATGCAGAAATTTGTCCATTTCCTTTAAAGTTTCAAATTTTCTGAGGTACACGTTTTCAAAGTATGACCTGAACATTCTCTGAATTTCCTCAGTGTCTGTTCTGTCCCCGTTTCCATTCCTGATTTTTTTAATTTGCATGTTCTCTCTGCCTTTTCGTTAGTTTGGATACAGGTTTGTCTATCTTACTGATTTTCTGGAAGAATCAACTATTTGTTACATTGATTCTTTGTATTGTTTTCTTTGTTTCGACTTATTGATTTCAGCCCTCAATTTTATTATTTCCTGGCATCTACTCCTCCTGATTGAGTTTGCTTCTTTTTGTTCTAGAGCTTTCAATTTTGCTGCTAATTCTCTAGTGTGACTGTTCTTCAGTGTCTTCATGTGAGTACTTAGTGCTTTGGACTTTTCCTTTTAGTATTGCTTTCAAAGTATCCCATACTTGACTTTAAGCTTGATTATAGAGCTAGTCCTGAAAACAGCTTGGTATTGGCACAAAAATAGACAGGTAGACCAATGGAACCGAATAGAAAACCCTGAACATAACACCAGTGGCACAGACACTGAGATCGACAATTAACAAATGGGACCTCCTGAAATTAAGAAGCTTCTTTAAGGCAAAGGACACAAGTCAACAAGACAAAAAAGCAGTTCACAGAATGGGAAAAGATATTCACTGACCCCACATCTGACAGAGGGATAATCTCCTAAATTTACAAAGAACTCAAGAAGCAAGTCTCCAAAACACCAAAGGATCCAATTAAAAGGTGGGGGTACAGAACTAAATAGAGAATTCTCAACAGAGGGACCTAAAATGGCCAAGAGACACTTAAGAAAGTGCTCAACACCCTTAGACATCAGGGAAATGCAAATCAAAACAACTTTGAGATACCATTTTACTCCTGTCAGAATGGCTAAA